ATTAGCAAGAGGAGAAAAATATACCCTTGCAAACCCAAGGAACCAGTTAAAGTTAATTCTGGCTTTTTAAAAGTTTCTGTCGCCATCACATGGCAATACAATTAATGAGTATGTTCATTACCAGTTCTGCGCATAAACGTGGTAGTACCACCCATGATGCCTTCCTTCCTCCTTTACCATGGGTTCACAAGCAGATTTGTTTCTTTTTTTTATATTGTTAAACCCTTACTGTGCTGGGCCGGGGATTTAGCTCAGTGGTTTCATCGCCTGCTGCGCAAGCGCAAGGACCAGAGTTCGATCCCCGGTACCAAAAAAAACAAACAAACCCTTACTGTGCTAAGTGCTTCATGTGCATTCCTCATTTAACCTCAGAACAGTGGGGGGAACCTATTTTTATTCACCCCCCTCCTTTTATGCATGTTACTGTGGATTGAACCCAGGGTTTCACACATGCTAGGCAAGTGCTGTCTACCACTGAGTCACACACAGCCTCTTCTCTCTTTTCTTTTCTCTTCTCTCTTTCTCTCTCTCTCTCTCTCTTTCTCTATCCTTCCCTCCTTCCCTCTCTGTTTTGTGTTTTAAGAAAGGATCTTGGCAAGTTGTCCAGGCTGGCCTTGAACTCACAATCTTCCTGCCTCAGCCTCCAAAGTAGCTGGGAGTACAGGTGCATTCCATTATAGCCAGCTGATAGTCACCTTTTAGAGGTGAGGACACTTAACTCTTAAGAGAAAAATAACTTTAGAGAAAGGAAGTGGTACCTCAGGTAACTAGCCAGTTCTGGCCCTCACCATTACCAAGGGATTGTGGTCACCCAAGGGCAATTGAATTAACTTTGGCTTTCCACAGTTCCCATGGGAACTGCTCAGACCATGTTAGACACTAAACCTCCAGGCAAAGCAAAGAGTACTGAAAGCGAGGAGGAGGAATACACCTAGACTGTACAGTAGTAAGTTAGAGACCTGTTTTGTTGTTGTTGTTGTTGAAGAATCTATGATCAAAAACTATTAAAATGAGGGCCATGCTGGGGATTTAGCTCAGTGGTTCCGGCAACTGCCTCGAAAGTGCAAGGTCTCGAGTTTTGTTTTTTGTTTTTGTTTTCTTTGTAAAATTAAGTTTATTGGTACATTTTAGGTATACAATATGATGACATTCATCATTGGGAGTTTGTACCTTTACATGATGTATCTTGGTTATTTTTTTCCCCATTCCCCTGCCCTCCCTTCAACCCCCCCCCCCATTTACAAAGACTTTGTTTCCATTTTTTTCTTCTCTCATATTTTTTCCTTTCCCTTTTTTCCTTTCCCCTACTCCTCCCGCTTCCTCCTCCCCTTTAGACCTTTTCTTCCAGTTTCACATTATCTATTATACCTTTTGATTCTTATTTACACTTTCAGTTTCTCACACCAGAGAAACTATTTGGTATTTACACATATGTATCCTATTTATTTCACTTCAGAGTGTGGCCTCAATGTGCATCTATTGAGCTATAAATAACCCTAGTTTCTCATTTTTTATGGCTGAGTAGTACTCCATTTACTTTTTTAAAAAACCACATTTTCTTTATCCAGTCTCCAGTTGATGGGCAATCGGGCTGTTTCCAAGTTTTAGCTATTACAAACTGTGCCACTATAAACATGGGTGTGCATATATCACTGTGGTATGATTCTTTTAATTCTTTGGGGAAAATACCCAGCAGGGGACTAGCTGGGTCAAATGGGACCTCTAATCCTAGTTTGTTGAGGTATCTCCATAATGATCACCACAGTGGTTGCACCAGTCTGCACTCCCAACAGTGGAGAAGGGTTCCTATCTCTCCACAACCCCATCAGCATTTGTTATTGATTTCTTGATAGCAGCCATTCTTTCTGGAGTGAGATGGAATCTCAGTGTTGTTTTCATCTGCATCTCTCGAATGAAGGTCTCAAGTTTGATCCCCGGTACCAAAAAAATAAATAAATAAAATAAAACGAGGGCCAGGGATTTAGCTCAGTGGTTCTGCCGCCTGCCTCACAAATGCAAGGTCCTGAGTTCGATCCCCAGTACCAAAACAAAACCAAAAAACCCTACGAAACAAAAACCAATGCAGGCTGGTTTACACCCTGATTAATGAGCTCTCAGCTCAAGACACCAGAAACTCTTTAGGTCACCACCAGCTCTTGTAGCTCTCATCCCTAGCTATTCTAGATGGAGCTGCTAAGTCTGAAGTGACCTTTCTCTTTGGCTAGGCTCACAATGGCCCAGACTGCAGCAGGCATGACTTCAGAACCACCTCTACACAAGCAGGTGGCTTGTCATCAGTCCTGGCTACAGGGATGGCTAAACTTTAGAAAAGGAAACATGTTTCCATCTTAATGTGAAGTAAATGCTACCACTGTTTAACCTACTGATGCTGGGAGAACTCCAGTCATAGTAAAAGCCAAGTCCATGCTTTTAGTAACCTTTGATGAATGAAAATTCTTGATTAAGCAGAGTCTAGCAACTTGCTTTGAAAACAAGTTCACATCAAGGTACTGAAGTGAAGTCTGTATGTGCATGGTGGTGCACACCTGTAAGCCCAGAATTTGGGAGGCTGAGGCAGGAAGATTGTCACAAGTTTGAGGCTAGCTTGGGATATATAGTGAGTTCAAGGCCAGCCTGAACTACATAGCAAGACCTAGTTCAAAATCCAAACCAAAAAAAAAAAAAAAAAAAGACATTGAAGTGAATGAATAAACAAATGAATGCCTCCATATAGTCACATGTTGCTTAACAATAGGGACATGGTACCAGAAATGTGTTGTTATAGGGATTTTGTTGCTGAATGAATATCACAGAGTATGCTTACACAATAAGACAGCTACATCACTAGGTAATGGCAATTTTCTAGGACCACCATTATATACTCAGGTCATCACTGACTAAACGTTTTTATGGGGCCCATTACTGTACATCTCAGGAGCTGTACCAACGTGACTAAAAATGAAACTCCATTTGTCTATAATAACAATTCAATGAGAACTGACACTCAAAATTAGGACTTTGAAGAAGTTAAACATCCTGTATCACTACAAAAAGAAAGGGGAAATACATTCAGGTTTTACAGTATAGTCCTACGCAGGGAACAAGTAATAACACAGGCTGAAACAAAGCAGGATTTCTGCTTGTCCTGGTGTTAACCAAAAAGACCAGCAAACCACAGTGGACCCAGCCATGATGCCCTCGGGGTCACTGGACCACCACTTGGGTGGAAATCCACCTGGCCTGCCCATTCAGAAGCTGCTCCTAACTGCCTTGTTCAGAGTACCACTGCTTGGTGTCAGAGTATCATGCCAAGGTGGGCATGAGAGCTGAAGAAACAGGAACCCACTAAATCACTCAGGGCTTAGAGCATACCCAAATCGGGGGTCATGCCATAGATTCTGCTTTTATTTTTTGGTACTGGAGATCGAACTCAAGACCTTGTGCTTTTGAGGCAGGCAGTGGAACCACTGAGCTAAATCCCCAGCCCCATGCCATGGATTCTTAGAATCACTAACAGCTCTAACCTATCTTATTAAAGATTTATCTGGGTTTTTTTTTTTGGTACCAGGGACTGAACTCAGGACCTTGTGCTTTCAAGGCAGGCAGTGGCACCACTGAGCTAAATCCTCAGACCCTATCTGGGACTTTAATAGCTAACTTCTCTTGCTGGGCTAATGATCATAAATACAGTCTGGGTTTTTAAATTTATTTTTTTGGTACCGGGGATTGAACTGAACTCGGAACCTTGAGCTTGCAAGGCAGATGGCAACACCACTGAGCTAAATCCCTGGCCCAAACATAGTCTGTTTTAACCTGGTGTGGTGGTGCATGCCTACAATCCCAGGACTTGGGAGGCTGAGGCAAGAGGATCGCCTCAAGTCTGAGGCCAGCCTGAGCTTCATAGTGAGTTCAAGGCCAACCTGCACTACAAAGTGAGACTGTCTCAAAACAACCCAAAATAAATAAATAAATAAATACAATCTATCTTATGCCGTATCTCATTTTTGCTAGAAAGCTTCCAATGAGCTTACTCTAACTGCAGTGAGGACTATGAAGGATGCAGTCCATACTCCTGGTGGATGGTGTTGGGCTCACTGGGAGAGGCATGACTAGGGATTAGGTGAGAAGCAGAGATGGAATGTCTTTTTTTTTCAACAGGGTCTTGCTCTATAGTTCAGTCTGGCCTTGAACTCACAGTGATCCTCATGCCTCAGCCTCCTGAGTGCTGGGGGAATGTCATTTTATTAATGGGCAGAATAAATTCTCTGTAGGGTCCAGACATGTTGGAAAAATAAGCAGCAAAGGTTCAATTAATCACTCAACAACCACTGAATATTCATCTCCTTGGTCCCAAGGACAGGACTATCCCAGTGTGGGGTCACCCTGCTCACAACTGCGTTCCACACTGAGCCAAAGCTCAGGCAGCCTTTAAGGAGCAATGGAACAGACAATAAACTCAGGGTCTCTCAGACGAGACTCTGTGTTCCGTGTGTGCTGTACTGGAAAAGGAAAGGGGCTCATACACAACAGGAAAGCTCTCAGGGACCATGAGTGTGCCTGGCAACCCCTCCCTTCTGTGATCAGAAGCTGCCAGGTGTGAATACAGACTGAAGGGTTTACCATTACATAGCAGATGTTGAACCTGAGTGAGAGACAACAGTCTTAAAAGCACCTGAACTGGCCCCATTTCCATGCTAGGGTTATTTATCTAAGAAGTACACCACCAAAACAGAGGACTTTTAGACAGACCTGACTGGACAAGAAGCCATGACTTTTCCCAGCCAAACAATAACACATGATGGGAAGGACAACCAGTCCTGCAGCCTGTGACATGCTCTTCAGCATGAGGCAGCCTTTTGGGTCCTGGAGGCTGGCCTGGCCCCACAGGATGGATGCCTGCTCAGTCAAAGCATGCTGCAGCGTGCCCGGGGACAGAGACAGGCAAGCTCATGCATGGGTTAGTATCACAGAGGGCAGGACCATCACCACAGACAGAGTACCTGGGAACAACCTACTTTGAGGACTCAGATGCAGATAGGTCTTCTGCCTTGGGCTTGAGGCTAAACCAGCAAAATAAAATGAAGAAAAACAAAAACACACCCTGTGATATCAACAATGTCACATGTGCCATTTGCAAAATGCCCAGACAGGCCTGAAGTTGTGACAAGTGACTTGCTTGTTTTTATGACTGGAAAATATGTCTCCAGCTTTCAGCATTTCAGGCTCCTATGGCTGAGGGGCCGACTCACCACCATAGCAGCGGTGGCAAACAGAAGGCTGCTCCTGGTGCCCAAGTGACAAGGGGCAGGGGTAGGGGGTTTGAAATATCTCCCTCAAGGGCTGACCAGCTCACTGGCCCAGTCATTGTTTTATCCCTTTGTTTAATGATGGAGGCCTCCCCTTCACTCCCCTTTTGCTAACTAGTAACTTTGTTTTGGAAGGGAAACCCAGGAAATGACAGAAGCCAGAGGTAAGAAGAACACAGAATATGGGAATGCCTTTCCTTCTAAGTCATGCTATTAAAGGAATTCTCTGCCCACTGCCAATTGTAACTAGAGTGAAGAGAAAAAAGTGGGCGTTCCCTGTTGTACCCATCAGCAATGGGCAATGAGGCACAGATTTCTTGGGGTTTTCAGTCACAGTTTAGCCACTGAAAAGAGATAGTCCTTAAACTAGGAGACCATTTTAAAGACTAAGGTAAAGGGTAAAAACTGAACCATACCAATCGTTACCTAAACTCAATCTAAATAACACCTTTTACAGGTGTAACCTGATCCTTAGCTATCAGCTAAAAGCAGAGCTTCAGTTGGCCAGAAAAGACCTTTCTACTTTCCCCAAATAAAAAACATACTCTTGGGCTGATAATGGGTATGAAATTTAACTTTAACTTACAAGTCTCTAAAATGCCAATAGCTTTAAATACCAGGAGGGAAAGGTAGGATACCATGAGCCTCATAAATGAAGACTCAATTTTTAAAAACATTAAGGTTCCCCTAGATACTTCCTTTGAAGTATGAAAAAAGCTGAAAATTTAAAATATAGTTTCTCAATCAAGAACAAGATTTTACAGTTTTTGCCACTTACAAACACAAAAGGAAGCTGGGTGTGGTGGCACATACTTATAATCCCAGCTATTGGTGCTAGTGGTGGTGGGGATACTGAGGCAAAAGGATCCCACATTCAAGCCCAGCCTAGACAAATTTCTCAAAATAAAATTTAAAAAATAGCTAGAAGCTGGGTGTGATGGCACACACTCAGGAAGCTGAGACAGGAGAGTCATGAGTGCAAGGCCAGCCTGGGCTACATGCAGAGTTCATGGCTAGTGAGGGTTATATAGTGAGACCTTGTCACGATAAATAAATGAATAAATAAACACATAAATAATTTTTTTTAAAAAAGGGCTGGGGATGTAGTCTAGTATGTGTGAGGTCTTAGGTTTAATGCCCCTGAGTACAAAAGAAGGAAAAAGAAACAGACAAAACCAAAAACAAACCAAACCATAAAAAGACAACAGGGGACTCCATTAACAGCAGCCTCCTCTTCATTATGCCTTTGCATTAAGCAAGGCAGCTTCCTGGGCATAACTCCCTTTGGCTTAAAAGACAGAACTGCTTTAGTGCTCAATGATGGATCAAAAACTGTGCTCTAGCAGGGATTCATCTCATCAAAGCTTTTAACACAAGCTCCACTTCCATCAAGCCAATGGGCTCATGGTCACTGGCAGATTAAATTTCCTTTCTGGCAGGAGTTGAAAAATTTCCTCAACTAAGTACATGTAAAAAATGACAACAGTCTAATGACTCGGCTCCTGAGGAAACCAGATGCCAACCTCACATTTCATTAATGAATGTCCTGATCAGCAAAAGCCAAGGGACTCTGAGTACCTTTTTAATCGTATTGTGCTTGCTGCTGGTGCCGCCCCTGTCCGAGTTCTCGTTATGCAGAATGTCCAAAGCTGTCTCCCGCTCTTTCAGTTTCAAGGCCTCTATTTCTGTCTTCAGCTCATTGAGCTGCTCCTGTAGATGCTTGCTCTTCTCCATGTATTCCACTCTGCGGCAAGAGGACACCGTGCATCAGGCAAGCACTGAGGCATGGTCGAGATGCTCTGCGACCCACACATGCTCAGTGTGGAAGCCAGTGGCTGGGGCCCTGGGGTTCATATCTCAGCTTGGCCACTCACAGGCTGTGGGAGCTTGAGCTGGTCCCTTAACTGCTAGGAATCTCTTTCCTCACTGGTAAAATTAGGATAATGATTACAGCACGGTGGTCAGGACTAAAGTACAGGGAAGCCCTCTGCAAAACCCCAGGGTACTCAACAAATACCAGCTGTCACAGGTAACTTTTAGTTCTGTATGCAACAGCGCATGAAATAAGCCTCCTGGCACCCAAAATAACGTCCTTGTCTTGACCTTTCTTAGAGCTGTAATTCAGATGACCTCTTCTGACAGGTCATATCCACAGTCCCACTTGTACTCAAACCTCAACTCCTACAGATGACAGAAGTTCACTCAACCAACATGGGGAAGGAAACGGTCTCACTCTCATCTGCAGGTAGCTACACTGAGCAACAGTAACTATCATGGTGACAGTCTGGAATCTACATGTGAAGTTTCCAACTATAAGGGCATGGCCAGGAAAACAATGCAACACAAATACGAAGGAACCTTCTACAGCCATGAGCATGGCTACGATATGGACCCTGACAACACAGGCAAGAGAAGTAAGTAAGTGCTATGAGCTGAATGTTTGTCTCTCCCCAGAGTTCATATCACCAATGTGAAGGTGTCCAGGGGTGAAGCCTTTGGGAGATGATTAGGTCAAAAGGACAGGACCCTCATGATGAGACTGTGTCCTTATGAAAGGGATCCCAGAGAGACCCCTTGCCCATGTGAGAATACTGCAGGAAGGCACTGTCTATGAACCAGGATGAGGGCTCTCACCAGACTGAGTTTGACAGTGCTTTGATTTTGGATTTCTAAAATCCAGAACCATGAGAAATAAATATCTGTTTTTTGTAAGCCACCCAGCCACTGGTATTTTGTTATAGCAGTCTGAGCACACTAAAACAATAAGAAAATACAAACTACAACAAAGCAGGACACAGAACAGGATGTAGCCTCACAATGATCAGAACCATACATATATGCATGTCTGGACAAAGATGGCAGGAACTCTACAGATGCTACCACCAGTGGCTCTAGGCTACCAGCTTCACATCAATGTTCTCAGTATGAAGACCTGAAGAGAAACACAGCCTGTCTTGTGGTAGCCTAGGCTGGACTCCATGGAGGCACTTTCCCAGAGGGTTATCCTGAGGTAACCACACAGGGAGAGGGGTTTCGACCCCTGGTCTGCTCTTTGTCAGCCGTGTGATGTTGAATGAGTTCACTAAACTAAATCTGTATTCTTATTTATAAGACAGAAACACTAAAGCTAGGCATGGTGGTGCATGGTTATGATCCCAGCACTCTGGAAGGCTGAGGTAGGAGGATCCCAAGTTTGAGCCCAACCTGGCCAACTTAGTGACTTAAGGAAACCCTGTCTCAAAATAGAAGAAATTAAAGGGACTGATGTAGCTCAGTATGAAGGCCTTTAGTTCAATCCCCAGTACATTACTGGGGGGGCGGGGGGGGGAACACTAGGGCTGGGGATTTAGCTCAGTGGTTCTGCCGCCTGCCTCAAAAGCGAAAGGACCCGAGTTCGATCCCCAGTATCAAAAAAAAAAGGAACACTAAAACCTACCTCTGATGTCAGTATAATGTTCATTAGTAGGAATTAAATGAGACAAAAGCCAAAAAAACTCTAACATACAGGGTATGTTATATGGTAGCTACTGTGATTGTTTCCTGCCAACTGTGGCACCATTAATCAGTTTACCTCTGGTTCTGGGAATGGGAGGACCTTGCTTAGCCTTCCTCTGCAGTAGGACTTTCGCCATCTCTGATTACACTTCCACTGACCATAAAGGTAGCCCAGGGCAAGCTCGGGATCTGCTCAGGGCTGTCTGATATTACAGATCCCCTACCTGGCCACTGGCTTTCTCAGTATCAAGCCCAAGTTTCATCTCTCTCACCTTTGTCACAGACACAGGAAGCACCACAGATCACACTGTCAGGGAACATGACTTGGAGAAAATTGCAGTTTAGTACATGGGAACAGCAGTATGACTCACTGGGAGGCCCCTGACAACCTAGTTCCATTCTCCAGTCAGAGTTCTGAGCCACTATGAACTCCAGGTCACCAATCAAATGTCATTTTTACCCTGGAGCATTGACTGCTGATCTACTGTCTATAATTTCTAATTAGAAAACTTGTCCTCCAGTGGGTGATAACTGAGCAAATTGCAGGAGCTAGTGACAGGCCTCTGTCATGACCCTTTGTATCCCCAGGTGCAGATCCATTCATTCATGTTCCCAGCTGCCCCAAGCAGGTCATAAGGGACTACATACTTTTCTTTCTCTATTTCCATGGAAAGCCGCTTCATGTCAGTATCCTTGAAGTCAAAAGACAGGCTGTCGCCAATGAGGTTGAAACTTGGTATGTCAGGAGGCATTGGTGCTGGGATTGGGTTCACAGGCTATCAGTGAGAAATATCAGAATTAGGAGATTCAGGTTTTACAAGAACATGCCCTCCACTATCAATACTGCCCATGCAAAGAGTCCCAAAAAAGGAAACACTAAAACTTTGATGTCAGTGTAATATTCATTAGTTAGTAGAAATTAAATGAGACAAAAAAAGAAATTAAATAAGACAAAAGCTTAAAAACCCCAACATTCAGCACTCAGTCTGTGGTAGCTACTGTGATTGAACCAAAATCCAGTCAAATTACTTGTCTTCCTACAAATTTAACCTTTTTCATGATCAGTCAAATCAAACACAAACTCCCACTCACTTTTTCACTTAGCAAACTCTCATTTCCTGCACTAGGTAGGAGCTAGAGATGCAGACAAGACAGGGTCTCTGGCTCTGAGTAGCTGAAAGTCTCATTCAGGAAACAGGAGGATTTAACTGATATCCTCACAGTTAAATAAGGCAACTATTGGAGCCAGGAAGCAAACAGGCCAAGGGAGCTACAGGGGACATAATAGAAAAGATGCTGCTTCTGCTGCAATCAGAGAATGTGTCAGGAGGAGAAGGGCGCCAGGTGAGGATGGTGTCAAGCTGGGCCAATAGTGTCCAGCCAGAGTGCTGGCCATGTGCAACCCCTGTGTGGACACCTGGGTAGGAGTCTGGTTCTGGACCAGCAGTTTTCCCCCAGGATGCTAGGGGTTCAAATTTGGAAGACCAGACATAGGATGAAGTAATGAGATTGAAGCACAGCATGAAGTCACTAGATTTGTTTTGGGACTTTCTCATCCCAGAACAAAGGGTCATCTAAAATATGGCCCTAACCTACCCCCCAGTTTCTTCCATTATTTTCCCTACAAAGTCATAAGTGTTATTTAATATTCTTTGTGCTATTTTTCCCTCTCTTAGACTCTATCCCTCTTGCAAGACCCTTCTCAAATGCTCTGATCTCTCATCGAAGCCTTTCCAGATCCCTCTCAGACAAAAGGCCAACCTTTCTTTTGCTGTTCCCCAAGACTGTGTTCATGGTTCTCTAATGGATCTTTCCCATAACTCTATATTGTAAAGACTTTTTTGGACTGTATCTTCTTTCTGCTGTCTGCAAGTTTCCTGAGGGCTAAATTTGCTTCTTTTTCATCCTTGAATTCTTTTTTTTTTGCAGTACTGGGGATCGAACTCAAAATCTTGTGCTTTCGAGGCAGGCGAGGCACCACTGAGCTAAATCCCCGGCCCTTCATCCTTGAATTCTTCACTGAGCTTAAGATGGTATCTGGGAAGGAGTGGAGCCTCAGAACTTTCATATGGGATGATAAGGCCTGAAACAGAGTGTCTGGAGGGTATCAGAAGTGGTGCTGGGCTGGGGATTCAGCTCAGTGGTGCCGCTGCATGCCTCGAAAGTGCAAGGTCCCTCCTTCAATCCCCGGTACAAAACAAAAAAAAAGTGGTGCTGAGCAGGTCCTTCTGGGGTCCTACAAATAGTGTTTTGTTTTTTTTTTCTCCTGATCCGAGGGCTGAGTACATGGGTATGTTCTGTCTATGAAAATTCAGCAAAGTGTACAGTTGTAATTTGGGGCCTTCTCTGTACATATGTTATACTTTATAAAAACTTCTAGAAAGGCCGGGGATTTAGCTCAGTGGTTCAGGCACCTGCCTTGCAAGCCCAAGGTCCCAAGTTCAATCCCCGGTACCAAAAAAAAAAAAGAAAGAAAAGAAAAAAAAGAAATGAAAAAAGCCTCTAGAAAAGATGAATATTGGGGCTGCACCCCTGGGGAAAGCAGAAACTGGCACGATGACTTCTCTGAAGGGAATCAAAATGGAATATCTGATCTCATGGTTCTATTTATGATAATCTATTCTACCAATACAGACACAAGATATTGGCAAAGATTTGTATTCAGGGATGTTCAGCATGGTTTTGTTCAAAACTGTACAAGAAAACAGACTAAATATTCATCTGTAAGGGACTGGTTAGATGCATTACAATCTAGCCATGAGACCGAATGTGGTTAAAAACTGGTATGGATGATCTTCCCCTACAAGATATGTTGCTAAGAAGAGCAGAGTTAGAACAGGGTATAAGGTTTGCTCCAATGTCTGTTTTAAACGTACACATGCATCTCAGGCATACAATCCAGCTGAGCCCTCAGAAGACTCCATTTCCAGCTCTCACCTGTCTGCAACTACCTGACAGACCCTGAGTGAAGACATCAGCCCACTTAGCCCACCATGCTGTGAGAGGTAATAATAAATGGTTGTTGGGAGCCACACATTTGGCTTGGGGTGCTCTGTTACCCAGTAACCAATAACCATGACACATAGCACTAGCAAACTGTTGACATTTCCCCAGCTCAAATCCTGGGAAGCTTATCCCTCCTGTGCCCTGTGTGTATCTGTACCAAGTGTGAATATGCCACACTGTGAAAGCGCAGTGTGTGTTTGTGCCATGTGCATGAATGTGCAGTGTCTGTTTGTGCCATGTGTGAATGGCTATGTGTTTGTGCTGTAGGGTGCATCTGTGCCCTTGCCTAGAACATCCTGTCATCTCTTCTTTGCTTGGCTAGTCCCTGCTTGCCTTCAGGAGTCAGCTCAGGTGCCATTCTCAGCCTCTCCTATCCCCCAGGCTGGGCCATGTTCTACGCACCTGTGCACACCTGCCTGGGTATAAATTTTCAACTGTGTGGCATTAAGTGGATGTGGAACAGGTGTACGAAAACATTTGCTGAGTGGAAGGGAAGCAATTTCTGTTTATTTTGTGATCCCATTTAGCAGAAGTCTGTATCCCTGTCCCAAAACTGAGGTTGAAATCTGGTTCTTGCACAGCAATAATTCACTTTGAGGTGGACAGTCAACCCCTTCCCAGAACTATAATTATGGTGTATGGTATCTACTGATAGTAGAAGATTATATTCAGCTAAGCATTAGGGAACTAGAGAGCAAATTCTTTCGAGGATAACTTGAGACTATATTACTTGGAATAAGAAAAACATTTGAGAGCTGGAAACAGCCCTGCTGCCTGTTATCTGGGTAATCAGAGAGGTAACTGACTAGTCTGAAGCCAAATGATGACCATGATGTTCTGCCTGGTGCCTGGCCACAGGCAGGCTCTGCACCATTGGTCCTTCCATGCTTTGCTGGAACTGTCACCCTAAAGGTGCTGTCAGGTGAACTGAAGGCCTGGGAGGGACAAGAAGTCACCAGGTCTAAGGCAACCACCGGATGGTGGCCCCTGCCCAGGCTCACCGGGTATGTGGGCTTGGTGGCAATTTCCAGGAGCTTCTGCTTGGCTCTTCGCTCCGCCTCTCGGGCTTCCTGCAGGTCCTGCTTCAGCTGATCTGCCTCCTTGGCCCTGCAAAGAAAGTATATGTCAGTTTCACAGAAGAAGATGGGTGGAGAGAGGTGAGCTTTACCTCTACCCCATCCCAGGAGAGGAGGGAGCTGGGTAAACCTCAAGGATGGCACCTGACAAGGCAAACAAGGACAGTGGGGCAGAGACATTTACAGGAAGTCAGAACTTCCAAAGCAAGAACAGTATTCCTAGGCATTAATTCATTTTAACTAGTAAATCTAGACTGGAAGACCAGGGAAGCCAGTGGGGCTAGAGCCAAACAGAAAGCTGTGCAAGGCTGCCAGCCACGGTGCACAACTGTAATCCCAGCTCCTCAGGAGGCTAAGGCAGGAGAATCGCTTGAGCCCCAGAATTTGGGGCTAGCATGAGCAACATACTGAGATGCTATTTCATAAAACACAAAACCTCTGCAACAGGTGTGTGAGGTAGGATAAGGGATACAATGCTCTCTCTGCTTGTTTCTGGATAAGAGTGAGCTCAACAAACAAAAGTGCTAGTGATCAAAAGTCTTATACTAGACCACAAAGGGCAGAATGTAAAAGAACTGGTTTTTTACAGCTCCCAGCTAAAACACCCTCAGACCAAGTGCCTACTTTCTTTGGGCAGAAAGACAAAGCTGTCATTGTATGCAAATGCTTCCTGGTGTAGGTCCTTGCCCTATGGGACACAGGCTGGGAGTGGCATGAAAAGCCTAGCACATGGGCACCTGGCCCAACATCCCTCACTCATAGAGAAAGAAAGGGGCCTGGCACAGGACAGACATCAAGGAAACCATATTCTCAAGATGATATGCAAAGAATGGTGAGGAAAACTATAGTGAATCACCTTAGTTGCTAGAAGCCAAATTCAAGTGTTCTAAATCAACAGAACAAGATGCTGTGGGGAATATGCCAGTATTTATCTGAAGGTTACAGGACCAGAACAATCCAGAGCCTAGAATAGTCTCTGAAAAGTATAGACAACAGTTCCATATTTTGACCTGCTCACCAGCTGGGGGATCCTGGTCTCAAAGAAGACTGCAGGCTGCTGGCAACTAATTTTCCTTACATGTAAATAATTGATATTCTCTTGCATCCCCACCAAATAAAAAGGGGAAAGAACTATAATTTTTTAAAAATGCAAAAGAACCTCTTTGCATCTCCTTAGCTAAAAGCAATCTGTAGGGCTGGGGATTTAGCTCAGTGGTTCCGGCGCCTGCCTCGCAAGTGCAGGAACCCGAGTTTGATCCCTGGTACCTAAATAAATAAATAAATAAATAAAAGCAATCTGTAGACACACTTAACAGCTTTGTTGCAAACTGGGCCATGGGAGGGATGGGGTCGTAGCACAGAGACAAGAGAACTGCACTCTGTGCCCTACCAACATCTCCAGTCATAAGGGCCTGGCACGGAAGGAACCTCCCCGCCCCAGGTGATGAAGGAGCAGCCTGAAGATGGCTCTGTGCAGCTCTGCTTCAGGGCAGGGTTAGGACTAAATGGTCCTCTTCCAGGTTCTTTGCAGGGTCCCTATGCCCAGGACACCCCCTCACCTTCTCTCTGACTCCTCAGCCATTTTCAGTGCCAGCACTTCGGCCTCTAGCACCTTCTGCTCCATCAGGCGCTTCTCCTCCTCTGTCCGAATGGCTGTGGCCTTGATGCGCTGCATCTCCTGCTCAGCTTCTGCGGCCTTCTGAGCCAGGAGTTTGGCCTCCTCTTCAGTGATCTGGGCCTTTTCCGCTAACAGGTCTGCCGTCTCCTCTGACCGCATCTGGAGGGAAGCATGCTCTTAGCGGCGCCCATCTCCCACCCAGATGTGGACGGACTTAGACAAGCAGGTCAGCAAGAAGCAGCCTCAGACTCCTTGGGCCTTGTCACTAAGCATCACCTTGGGAACCTCTGGTAACAGATGACAAGCCACATCCCCCTACTATTCAGAAGGGACCTTGAGGCTCTACCCATGGGGAATAAGAAAGAGCACGCTGAGTGCTGAACACTCAAAGGGGTGAACAACTTTAGCTGAGCCTTATGGTTTATGAGGCAGAAAAACAACATAAACTCTGTCTTCTCTTTATTTATTTTTTCCTGTACCAGGAATCAAACTCAGGACCTTGTGCTTGCCAGGCAGGTGCGGTGCCACTGAGCTAAATCCCCGGCCCTCTGTCTTCTCTTTAAATTGGTGGTTCAAAACCGGAGGAGGGTTTGTCACCCAGGGGACATGTGGCAATAGCTAGAAACATTCTGAATGTCACAGAGGATGAGGCATCTAGCAGGCAAAGGCCAGGGACACTGCTAACCGTCCTTCAATACCAAGGAAAGCCCCAGATGATCAGCCCCAGACACCAGCAGTACTGAGGTGAGAAGCCCCGTTTTAAAGACAATCCCAAAGTCAAAGTAGAGTTTGGCTGTACACACACCCAACCTAAATCTGCATCTGTTTTGTCGTGCTGGGGATCAAACCTGGGGCCTCACACATACTCGGCAAGCACTCTACCACTGAATTACATCTCTAGCTCCAGCACTGACATTTTTTGTATGTGGTACTGGGAATTGGAGCTGCGGTGCTCTACCTCTGAGCTACATTTCCAGCTGCTTTTATTTTTTCTGAGACAGGGTCTCACCAAGTTGCCCAGGATGGCCTTGAAATCATAATCTACCTGCCTCAGCCTCCAACTGAAAGAAAGCATATCTAAGCAAATATTGCTTATTCACAGAAGTCCCCACATAACCTCCTGGGGACCCTGACTCCGCAGAAATCACCAGTGCTTCATTGGCCATTGTTGCTTCTTCTTTCATCTGCAGCAGCCTCCTCTCCAACTCATCTCTTGTGCGCTCAGCCTCCTCCCGCATCTGCTTCTCTCGAGCGAGGCGCTGCCGTTCCATCTGGGGGAGAACAAGAGCAGGCACTGACTCATAGTGCTCCTAAGACCCCCTCCCCCAAAACCTTGTCTGCAGAGCCTCCCACTAGGGGGTCCTTCTCTTCCCTTTACTTTTGGCAGCTGGCTCATTCTTATTGCCCACCACCCTGTCTTAAACCAGTCTCAGAGTGGCAAGCTGTGCTCCTTGGAGAAAATTCTAGTAGTGAACAAACAAACAAATGAAGAACAAAACATCAAGTTCAGCATCCACCTGGACAGAAGGGAACAATCCTATGAGGTATATGGCAACAGTGACCTTGTAATGCCCCTGTTGGTTGGGAAACCTCACACAGCTTTGCTCTGTGGCTGGTGGATCACAATGCAGGTTCCTCCTCCCTGAGCTGCAGCACACAGGCAGCTCTCTCATCTGGTCAGATGAGCTGCCTCATCATTTCTAATGCACACAGACCCTTCACACACCTCTGATCTCATCCATAATATCTCCACTCCTGCCTCTACCCCATAGAGAAGATGGAACCATGTGTGATGCATCAGTGGCTCCCACAGCTTTTCACAGGGGGGAAGCTGCAGCAGCCACAGCGCAGCCTCACAGGGCCCCACGCAGAGGCAACTCTGGAGCTAGGCAGGGAACACAGCCCCCATCCTTAAGGCAGCGGTACAAAGCCATGCTGCCATGCCCCTGCTGCCTCCCTTGCCTTCTGGATCACTGTGTTAATTGGGCCACCTGCCGAGCTTAATAAGGGGAACACGCCTAGGACAGCGCTATTCTCTGTGATACCAGAGTACTAACTGAGTTCAGAAAGCAGAAGCTACAAGTGACCACTGTACTATTTTTTGCCTTAAGTAATGAAAGCATATTTAATTAGTTCCTTTTTGCTTTAATCTTATTCTAAACTCTAATAGATTTCTAAGACTGCTTTTTCTTTTTTTTTTTTTAAGACTGCTTTTTCTAAATATGAAGCCAAAAAATGTATCAGAACATTAAAGAATAATGCACAGACAAGCAATAAAATACTGAAAGTTCTCTGCTTTTCCTCTTGCAGGTCAATGAAAAGCTTGGCCAATTTTTTCCTTAATTTCCATCATATTATTTCCATCTCTATTATTCACCTCTTGAAAAAAGCCCCAGGCAGCTCCCTTCAGTTCCCAGCTCTACACTTTCCTAGACCCGACCTCAATAATAAAAGACTTCCCTATCTGAAAAGCAGTTTATCGCTTACAACAAGAATGACCCAGACTTCAGACACAACAGGTCTTCTGATCTGAGACAAGGAGGTATTATTAGTGCCACTTGATGGATGAGAAAATTTGAGTCACATACTTAGTGTCAGATCTAGCTCCAAGATCACTGTGCTACTAGGTCAGAAAGCCCTTGACCTCTAGTTGCTCACATGCCATGGAGGTGTCATGTGCCCTAGAGCAGTGAATGCAGTCTGGGAGGGTATTCTGCTATTCTTTGTCAGGGCCTAGAGGCCTGCATGCTTCTTGACAATTTCAGATCTCTCATTTCTGAGTGTTGCTCTACTGAGAAAGATGTCAAAGGGAGCTCTTCTTGAAGTTGCCACCACGACCCCATACTGGCTCACTAGCATTTCTGTTTCCAATAAGACCAATCCCATCATCCCAAAGCACCCCTAAGAGCACATCAACGGCCCACTGTCCCAGAAAGCAAAGAGATGGACAGCTGACAGCTGACTGGATCAAACCAGGCATTTCACTCTAAATCCCAGGGTGAGAAGTCAGCCTCTCTGGGGTATCCGAATCAGACAGCAGCACACAAACTAATTATTATACCTCTGAGCTAGCAAGTCTTGAGGGCAGCCAACCGCAGCTGCTGTTACTCTATCTAGCAGTTTAGCCAAAAGCACAATTGATATTCTCAGCAGCGAGGCCCAAATTAGGTGTATGGATTTTGGTGAGTAGAGCAGGTCTATGAGTAGAAAACAATGATGCAGCTCTTCCAGTCTGCTGATAGGTGCTCTTGGCACCTCCCACAGCAGGTGGTGTGTGCCCAACCTGACCCGCAGTGAGGAAGTGCAGCCTGAGCCTATTAGCATTCCACCAGCAAGCACTGAAATGCCGCCATCTATTCCATCACCATCTAATTAGAAAAGGAGAAGGCTAGGCAAAGGAGGCATGCAAAAAGAAAGATAGCTAGGTAGATGGAGACACAATAGTATACTTGGCTACCATATCCCAAACCTATGTTAATCTCACTTAATTTCATTTAAGTTTACAAATGACTAGAGATGTTTCTTATAGATATGCTTTTAGAATTTAATGCTCAGAGAATATAATTTTCAGAGATAACATCCCACCAGCTGGATATTAGCTAATAAAGATCCAACAGGATAAAAGAAGTGCAGTCATGGCCACGGCGAAATGACTCCTACTGGCCCACAACCACCCTTACCTCCTAGGCCACAAATGACCAAGCAGGGACATCATCAGTTAAAACAAGACCTTGCTTACCTGCTTTCTAGCCTTTTCCTCCCTGGCCTGGGCTTTCATCTGCTGAACTTCCAAAGAATCAGCTTTCCTTCTCCTCATAAATAGGTCATGATTCCCAATACAAAGCTGGAGAATCTAAGGCCACAGAAGCAAGAAAAATGTTAAAACCCACAAATATGCTTTGCTGCCTCTCAGTCCAACCTATGCTACAGCATCTTAGGCTCTGGTCGGTAACAGGAAAGCTGAGGAAGGAATGGAAGCAAAATACCAAAGCCCTACTGACAGCCTCTAGTGCTCTGAGCTCTGGAGACATGCAAAATGAAGAGGCCTCAGATAAGCTGGCAAGTAAAATCCACTTGTAAAGAGAGGAATAGAAGATACTTTATTGTGTCCTTCAGATGCATCGTACTCTCCTAAGTCAAGATATGGCTCTGCAGATCAGGGAGGACAAGAAATCTTATTTAGTAACTTGGGCTAGAAAAAAATAAGTTTGACCCCTCTCTCACACCATACACAAAAATGGACTCCAGAAGAATTAAAGATTTAAATACAAAGATGAAGCCCTTGAAACTTTTATTAGAGAATACAGAAGAATATCTTTAAAATTGTAGGAAAAGGAAAGATACTAAGATACAAAAAGCACAAATGGCTAAGGAAAAGATTCTTATATTTGTTCACATTAAAATTTTTTAAAATTTGTTTGCGGGCTGGGGATGTAGCTCAGTGGCACCATGCCTGCCTGGCAAGCACAAGGTCCTGAGTTCAATCCCCAATACAGAAAAAAAATTTGTTTGTCATGACATAAAAGAAAAGGAAAAACAAACTATGCATTGGGAGGGATACAACCAATACAGAAAATAAATAAAAAACCCCAGAGGATAACAGTCAAAAGACCACTGAAACAAGTATCTAACAAACAGGAAATAAAATTGGCCAATAAATATACTTAAAGATGTTCAAATTGTCAGGTCTAGTTGCTCAGGCCTTTAAGCCCAGATATTCAGGAGGCTGAGAGACAGGATCACAAAAAAAAAAGCCTCGGAACATAGCTTAGTGTGAGATCCTAGGTTTCATCAGCAGTAGCAAAATTTCAAAAAAAAATTTAAAAAGGATGTTCAATTTCATTAGTAATTGTAAAAATGTAAATTAATATCACAAGGAGGGCTAGGAATGTTGCTCAGTGGTAGAATGTTTGCCTGGTAGGCATGAGACCTTGGGTTCAATCCTCAGCATAGGAAAAAAAAAATTTAGGTTAGACTCTATAGTTTAAGCTAAAAAAAACTGTACCAAGTGAGCTATCATTCTGTAGCCTGCAATAAGTCATTCTGAAGCTAGGCAATCCTAGCTACTTGGGAGATTGAGGCAGAAGGATAAATTTGAGGCTGGCCTTGTGTAAATCTATAATCCCAGCACTCTGGGAGGCTAAAGCAGCAGGATTACAACTTGGAGTCCAGCCTGGGCAACTTAGTAGTTTAGCAAGACCCAGTTTCAAAATAAAAATATAAAAAGGGGTGGGGATATATCTTAGTGTGAAAGTGCTCAGTTCAATCTACAGTACAAATAGGTAGATAGAGGGTAGGATTTAGCTCAGTGGTAGAGCTAAAGGCCTTGGGTTCAGTCTTCAGCACTAAAACTTAAAAAAGAAAAACAAAACAAAAAAGAAAAAGGTAAAAAAACAAAAACCAGATAGATAGATAGATAGATAGATAGATAGATAGATAGATAGATAGATGAATAGGGCTGGAGGTGTAGCTCAGTGGTAGAGCACATGACTATCATGTGTAAGGCCTGGGTTCAATCCCCAATACTACAAGAAAAGAAAAAACAAAAAGATGTCACCCTGGTATTCTTTAAAAAGCAGCACTCGATTTTTCAGAAAAGCAACAGTTATCAGTAATGAAACCCAGGATCTCAACTTACCAGCTTATTAACTCGAAGCTTTGAGGAGTTAAATTTGAAGACATCAATTTTCTTATCCAGTGGTTTAATAGTAAACTAAAAGAAGAAAGTAGAAAATCGTTTCACTTTGACAACCAACATTGCTACCACCAGCTAGGAAATGCCACAAAAACAGAAACCACAGGGGACACAGTCCAGCATGAGACTGCCTTGCCCTGGCTTCCTGGTGCGTAGGTACGAAGTCTGTGAATTAGGAATGTCAAAGGTGTGAGGTCTGGGACTTCGGAGACTCAGGGTCCTAAACTGTCTTGGGTAGCTGTGAGGAAGGGATGTGTGGTGACCTGAAATTAGAACCTATGATGGGTCCACCCTTGAGGCCAACAGTAGGAGGGCCACACAGTCTAAGAAGGCACAGCTCCTGCCTTCAGGAAGCTCATAACCTCATAGGAACTAGGCTAACAGTAGTTGATTACTCACAAAATGACACAATACATCACTGTCTTTTTGGTGGTACACGTCATAAATGTCCGTCATAAATGTTTGGAGTAGACCTAGCACATGCAGGAGGGGACTTGAGCTGGTGTTAGGCAATATGACAAGGAATGGGGGTGTAGATCAGTGGTGAGGTGCTTGCTCACATGCACAGACTCTTGGTTTCCATCCCCAGTACTGCAAAAACAAAAGAGTCGGGTGGAGAAGACCATGACAGAGCAGATAAAAGGTAGGAGGGCATTCTGGACTGGGCAAGCAATAGCAATAAAATAGAGATAGGGCAAGCAGCAGCAATAAAGTAGAGATAGGGATAGAGATAGAAAAGAGTGCGGAGAGGTTATTAGGTTTTTGGTGTTAATGATACACTGGGCTTAGACTGTGAGGGAGGCAGGGGTGGGTTGCGGGGTGATGGTGAGGAGTAAAAGACAGGGGTTTAGATTTAATATAACAGAAAACAGGCAGTGGCTACAGTCTCTAAACGGATAATTTGATAAAAGCTGTTAACAGCATGAACAAAACATGAATAAAAATGGGTTGTTGAAGAGAAAAACATAGTTCCTGAAATCAAAGTGTAGAGAAAGATGAATGATGAAGACAGGATGGGAAGTTAGTAGGAGAAGCCAGGGCCAGACTCCTGGCAGGAAAGCCTGGAAAGAAGCAATGTGATCACCACTCTCAGCCACTACTGAGGGGACCAGACAGATCCTAGAGTCCAAAGGTATACTTAAAAAATACATGCTGGGGATGGGGAAGGGGAGCAGGGGGCTGGGGAGTGCAGAAATGATCAAGATGTGCTTTATGCATGTGCCAGCTCCCCAAAACTAATGTAATTATGATGGGTTGCAAACATAGGATATTAAAGAAAAATTGGGAGGAGAAGTATATCGAAACTGGGTGTGGTGGTGAATGCCTGGAATGTCAGTACTCTGAGAGGCTGAGGCAGGAGGATTCCAAGTTTGATCCTAGCCCAGGCAACTTAGTGACTTAGCAAGAACATTTCTCAAAATGAAAAAATAGCCGGGGATTTAGCTCAGTGGTTCCCCTGCCTGCCTCGCAAGTTCAAGGTCCCAAGTTTGAACCCTGGTACCAAAAAAGAAAAGAAAAAAAAAAAAAAAAAGAAAAGAAAAGAAAGAAAGAAATGAAATGAAAAAATAAAAGGGCTAGAGATGTAGTTCAATGCAAAGGCCCGGGATTAAATCTCCAATTCGGGGGGGGGGGCACAGCATACTCATTCCTAAGAAAGACTTGCTTAGCCACCCCCAAAACTAAAATTAAAAAAAGGATTACTAGACTGGGGATAGCTCAGTGGGACAGCAAATATCTAGCACGCATGAAGCCCTGAGTTTAATCCCCAGCACCGCAACCTCCCTCCAACAAAATACCAAACGAACAAAAAGACTGGCTTGGCAGATATAAATATTTTGGAGAAGATAAACTCCTGGGTATTTCTTTCACATGTCATATTGTTCAACAAGGGATTGAAGGACACTGAGGACAGAAAATGATTCTTTGTTCAGCTTTTGGCCAAGTTGACTTAGAAGCAGTACTGCTCTTGTGTAGGCTGCTATTTATGAATTTCATGAGCTTATTTCTGGGCTTGTTATTAAACCCCAGAGCTGTCAGTGGGAAACCACAAGAAGTGGGGAAACCACAGGCTCCATGCTATGCCAGGGGATACACAAAGAATCAATGGATAACTTAAAATAAACTAACACTTCTGTTTTGACAGCACAGCTGTCTTGCATAAGTACCAAGACTACTTCCTATTATGCCAAGGCAGTTTGGGGTCTGGTTACCAAGTAAGTTATTGACATGATGGAAGATGATGGTACCTTGCCCCTGGAGAGGGCAGATTAGAGTTTGTTGTGTGAGGCCATATACTAGGGGAGACTTTAATCCTTTGATTCTCTGAAAAATGAGTGTTTGGGGAGCTTTTAGTGCACAAATGTGTGTTGTGCAGTAAATAGACTTTATGAAATTGGGAGACAAAGAACTACCACACTGTGGCACATCTACAGCTTTGAGTCATGCAGGGATTTCCAATTTAGGTACTTTATAAAAAGAACTACCTAATGCTCATCTCCTGAGCTACCTACTTTAAAAACTTCAAAGTCAGAATGTTTAGAATTAAGAAGCTCAACTGCCTTTATCAAGCATGGCTGCATAGATCCTAATCATGGACTGGAAACCAGGGTCTGGTGTTCCTTTCCTTGAGTTTCTATGAAGAAAGAGAAAATAGGAAATCTGCTTAGGGCTTTGGGCTCTGCAGGTAACAACATAAGCCATCATTGCTATTCACTCCCTGCTCTGTGCCTTGAATGTGACATCAGTAAGGCACAGAGCACTGTCTAGATCTGTCTCACTGCGCCTATCATCTTGTGTTCTCAGGGTCCAACCTCTGGACCTCTCAGAAAAGCAAGGGCTGTGGTATCCATCACCCACCCTTGATTCCCAGCCCCTGCCACTTCATTCATCAAATGTAAGTCTCTGGATCCCTCTGCATCTCTACTTCCTGGTATAACATAGATACTAAAAACACAGCCCCTGCCTTTGCAGTAGGATTCTTACAAGGATTAAATAAAGCACAAAAGAACTTGTAAGTGGAAGTACTCTCTCCTCCTCCTCTTCCTCCTCTTCATTATCATGCTTTTCCACTGTATTTATGTACCATAGCAGTCAAACCATTACTTGATTATAACTTCCTGGAAGGCTAGGATTAGGCTTTTCTCCATCTTTGTCTACACTACGAACCCTAGCACAAAGGAGATACCCAGTAATTCCTTTAAAATGAATGCGTAAGGGCTAGGGTATAGCTCAGTGGTAGAGTGCTTGCCTACCATGCACATGGCTCAGCACCATTAAAAAAAAAATAAGTGAATGAGTAAGCATAGGACTATGGCATTTGGGAAAAGCCATCTTATACAGAGAAAGATTTGAATACTGTAAGTGCTCATCTAAGTTATTCAAACTTAATTTTCTCAAATTCTTGTAAGCATGTTAGTGTGATATTGTTATTCATTATTGCGGAAAAAGATACACATATTTGTGTGTGCATACATGTGCATTTTTCCACGTGTCAAGCTCTGGACACTAAGAGAGGGCTCACTACAGACCACACTTAAAATACAAAGAGAATTTATCACCAGAAATAGAAAGTCAAGTAGTAAGAAAATGTTCTTCTTTTCTTTTTTATTGTTCTTTAGGGTTTACCTCTGACAAGTTAAGCCTCCCAGTTTTTTGTTAGTCAATAGTGGGGCTTAACAATGCCCTTTGAAAAAAGGATGCCAATACTGTTCTGTATATATTTTAAAAATCAACAACCAAAATCTCAAAGCCTGGGAATTAAGGGACATTTACGGATAATGAGGAGTGGGCCTGACAAGGGAAGCCCCAACAAGGGAGAGAGATGGGGAAGATCTTTTGCTGGGCCACAGGCCACCAGTGGCATCTGCAGTACAGACATGTCCTACCTCCTTGTCGCTGTATGAAATATTTCGGATTTCATTCCACGGGAAGGAGATCTTGGGGGTCAGCCGGTTCTCAGGGTCATAGATGTGAAGTCCCAGAGCATCCACTCCAAGCAGCAGCTCTGTGCCCTTTTTATTCTGTAGGGTCAATAAAGAGCAGCCGCTGTCAGCTTCAGCTGGAGATTTTGCTCAACTTTCCAAAGAACCTGGCACACACTGTTTCATCTGACAAGTTTCAACAGGTCCCAACAGAAATCATAGTTGTCTTGTGACCCAGGAGGCTTCTAGCTTCCAGAATTGGGACAGGCAGAGGCAAAACTGTACAATTCTTGTAACGTGTGTCACCTGCAAGGGTCACTGGGTGTTTCCATCACTGCCTCAGTGGCTAAAGGAAGGGTAATCTAAGTGTTTTACCTCTAATTAAATAACCAGGTTACCATAGACATAGAGTTAAAACCTGTAGGTTTAAGCATTTCTTATGTTAAAAGAAAGGTTTTGGGTGCTGGGGGTGTTGCTTGGTGATAAAGCACTTGCCTAGTATGCATATGGCTCTGGGTTTGTTTCCCAATATCTTAAAAAAAAAGGAAAATAAAAGAAAGATTGTTGGACTGCTAGAAAGAAAATTTTAAGTGCTGGGACCAGATGGGTCTCAGGTTTATGTTACAATGCAGTCTCAATGTAGTTTCAATATACTATACTTCAATATACTAAAATGTTAACTGTAGCATCCGGTAACATGGGCATTCACTGAAAAATTCTTTTAATTTTTCTGTATGTTTGAAATGTTTAATAATTAAATATTGGAAAATAAATCAAAACGAATTATATACAATTTGTACCTCAGTAAAGTTTTCAAAACACTGGTAGACTACCTATGTGATACCTCTGCCAGTGGTTCTGCCCAGCAGTCAGGGGCAAGTGCCCTGGATCCCACATCACTAACACAGATATGGACCAGTTGCCAACATCCTCGCTGACAGGCGCATCTGCCAGCTCCGTGGTCAGGCCTTTGTTTTATGGTGGAAGGAAACTCCCTACATAAGGACATCACAACTCCTAACCCCTTGCTGACAACAAGGAAATTGAACCAAGACTCAAGGGTAGGAAAACAGATCTGCAAAGAGAAAAGGTGCGTGGACTATGACAAGAATTACCAATCTATCAGCAGGTGTCAGATGGAAAAGCAAGCGCTCTAAGATAAATCTCTTTACACCCTCTAACACCTGAAGTTAGGCACTGTCACCAAGCCATGATAGTCTTCTGCTTTGTTTTCAAACTGTTTAAAACTACTGTGTTAACAGAAATGAGGCTTTGTACCCTTATACTGCACATTTTAGAAAACAAGTTATTGTATTATGTTTCTATTTAGTTTAAATTTAAAATAAAAGGGGATTCTCCCTTTTGCCTTCTATCATCACAAACCTGAAGTTTCCAGAGATTAAACAGGGGTGGAAGGGTTGTAAGCATTCCCTTTTAAATTGCTTTAATCACATGGTACCCCACTAATATGTAGATTTTTTTGGCACTGGGATCAAACTCAGGACCTTCCCCTTGCAAGGGAGGCACGGCACCACTGAGCTAAATCCCCGACCCAATATGTAGAATTTTTATGTTTTTATATATCACTTAAAAATTTAAACTTAAAAACTTGTTTTAAGCATATATCTTCCTTAGTTAATGGTGGAATTCCAGAACCTCTAACATAAAAGCCACTAAAATAGTCTTTAACTTTGACTATTGTTCAATATAAGAAACATACAAGTAGTATATGTTGATCCAACTGATACAGAATATTCCTTAACAAAAAACTGTGGTGGGCTGGGGATTTAGCTCAGTGGTTCTGTTGGCTGCCTTGTAAACGCAAGGTCCCGAGTTCGATCTCCAGTACCAAAAAAAAAAAAAAAAGAAAGAAACTGTGTGGCTTTTTGGTCTTTTGAGGATTACAAAACTGTAGTTTTCTAGAAACTAGGCACTGGGCATATGGGGCAAGAGGAATTAAACTGACAAAAACCACAGAAATGTGTTAAATTAGTCTGTCCTTAATGAAACAAAACATTTATGAAATTTCTAAAAACAACCTTTTACATTATTATGGAATATCTTTTAGGAATTTGTTTACTATATGAAATAACATAACATTTCACTCTACCTTATTTTTATGCAAAGTAACCCATAAATATAGTAATACCTCAGCTCACAAATGCTTCTATTTGCAAACAATTCAGTTCGCAAACAAAAGCTTTCCAGTAAAATTTTGCTTCTGTTCACAAATTCCATATCTGGGGACAAATAAGACCACGGCCACCTTTCCCACACAAACACAAATACAGCCATCTTCCCCAAAATTGTAAAAAAAATAAAGTTCATAAACCAAGGTACCACTGTATCTGTATACAGGAAACAAATAAAGTAGAAAGCTATTCTAGAATGTTGAAAATGTTTCAGTTTACTCAAATTTAATGTAAAAATTGTAGAAATACTAAAAAGAAAGTGAAGCATAATTGTGATCAGAAAGGTGGACAACTGTGGCCAATCATTTTACCAGCCATGAAACGCTTAGGCACATTGCATTTATTCCTTTGGAAGAAGCTGCCTGTATACTGCATCCAGCAACCAAACCCACTAGCGGGAGAAAGCTATGCTAAAGGGGCAGACTATGAGCTGAACACAAATGCCTCTCTGCAGAAGCGATGGGTTCCCAGAGGACAGCAGACCATTAATGGTCTGAAAAGAAAATCAATTAGCCTCATAGTGAGAACAAGAATCCCACCCAAACAAATCAGTAATCTATATAAAAGCAGCTTTACTCTCCATGGACCCTGGGGAAAGACAGTTATTTCTAGGTGCTTCCTAGATCTCATAGAGCCTGAAATAATCAAATATTACACTCCCAGTATTCTAACTGGTTTCTGCTGAGAGCAGGAGGGCGAAGTCCCCCAAGGCTTAACTGACACTTAATTACTTAGGGTTTAATTTGAAGTTCAAAAATAGAAAATGAGTCCCCTCTCCCTTTCTTTTTTCTTCTGTACCACTGAACCATGAAAGATTCTACCGCCCTGGGATAAAGGGTAACCCAATTGGGCCAGCTGGCCCTCGTTCAATATCTGCTAGCCAGGGAACTCGGGGAGGCTTCAACACACCCGGATTGCAAAGTAGTTCACACCATACATTTCCAGGTCCTGAGCTATCTTCAAATATTCCATTTCAGCTTCATCCCTGTGAGGAATGGAAAACAGTGTCACTGGAGTAAGTGACAAGAGTGAGGGGCAGATACCTGCCAAGCAGAGCATTCCGACCCTGACATCCTTCTGGGCCTGTGACACCTGCAGAAGACACGAGCCAGAGCAGACACTGGCAAAGCACTACCCAACCCCGAGTCTATTAGATACAGCAGAATTTCCCATTCCTGTACAAATAAGAAAACAGATTCATTATGCTGTCTCTTGGGTTCAATTTCACATTTCACCCTTGGTAAATAGTGACGTCTGTCTCAAATGATTCAAGAAAAGTACATGGGGGCTAGAGGTATAGCTCAGTAGTACAGCACTTGCCTAGCATGCCCATGGCCCTGGGTTCAATCCTCAGCACCTCAAAAAAAGAAAAATATATAGTATGTTATCTTCTACCCTCAAATGGGTTTGGATGTTCAGATTTTATTTAAGTTGTCTTACCTTTGTGTACTTGGAGACAAAGTCTCATTATGTAGCACAGGCTGGCCTCAAACTCACAGCGATCCTCCTGCCTCAGCCTCCCAAGTGCTGGGACTAGGGGCATGCACTACCACGCCTGGCTCTTTGTGTACTTTCTTAAACTAGGTTTTAGTAATGAACAGTTCTCCCTGTAAGCTACCTGACAGCTATTTTCCTGATTTAATTTCTTGGGGTATTGTTAGAAGTTAGGGCAAGAGCTATCTGAGCTGTAAAACCCGAGCCACGTCACCATTTATAAGTCACATTAAATGTAAGCTCTTGGGGGTAGGAGTACAGCTTAGTGGTAGAGAGCATTTTAGTGTATGTGATGCCTTGAGTTCCAGCCATAGTACTCCAACCAACTAGTTAACCAAGTAAGTAAGCTCTTGAAGTAGCAATGACTTGCAGAAAACTCCCAAATAGGTAACAGTACTGAAATATTTTAATGCAAGCCTTCCTATGACCTTGTCCTTTTTGCTCTCTCTCTGATCTCAAAATGCTCTCAAATGGATTTTAAAAATTCACCCTGAGAGAACGCCAAGTATTGGCAAGCAGGTGGAAGAACCAGAAATCACACACACTGCTGATGTACAATTATTTTGGGGAACTGTTTGACATTATTGTAACAGCAAAAAACCAAGAGACAAATGAATAACCTAAGTGTCCTTCAGTAGTAGAATGAATAAGTAATTTGTGATATATTAATACAGTGGAATTCTGCATGAACATGAGAAAATGTGTCACATGTCACAAACCCAAATCTCATAATACGATGCTGAGTAAAAGAAGCAAGGCACAAAAAAATAGGAACTGATTTTATGTAGAGTTTAAAATGGGCAATGCTGGGCTGAAGGGATAGCTTGGTGGTACAGTCCTTGCCTAGTTCATTCAAGTCCCTGAATTTGCTCCCCAGCACTGCAAATCAAAATAAAATGGGTAATGCCTGTGGCATTAAAAATCAGGAGACTAGTTACCTTTGAGGAAAAAGGCAGCAAGGAGAGGATCATGGGCTATTTCTTCCCCTAGGGTTATATGGTGTTTCACTTGTGATAAATGATTAAGTAGTATACTTAAAATTTATCCACTTTTTGATATGAATGTTATACTTTTTTTAAAAGTTAAAGAAAAAGCATGTGGTAGGAAGTTGACTTCAAGAAGAGAAAAAATTTAAAAGCTAATACAAAGATGATCAATTCCTAAAGCCTTTAGGGGAATGCTAATAATAACATAAGATATGAATCTCATCTTTTAGCTTGCAAAAATTATAGATTAATAAAAATAAATGTTTATGATAGATGAGGTGGAGAAGATACTCTTAGAACTCTGTTGATGGACATGTACCAACAGATACAACCTTTTTAGAGGCCAATTTGGTGGGGCCAGGGATTTAGCTCAGTGGTGCTGGCACCTGCCTGGAAAGTGCAAGGTCCTGAGTTAGATTCTCAATACCGGAAAACACACACAGACACATACAGACACACACACACAAAACACGTGCCTTGGCCAATAGCTCTCTTCTTAAAAAATCCACCCTCAGACCCTTACTCATACAATCGGGTAACAATATGAGATTGGGCACTACAGAACTTTTTGTAAAAGTGAAAACACCTATAGATAAATTGCCATCAATATGGGCCGGGGATTTAGCTCAGCGGCACTTTGCCTGCCTTGAAAGCACAAGGTCCTGAGTTCAATCCCCAGAACCAAAAAAAAAAAAAAGCCATCAATAGAGGAATGGATGCAAAAGCAGTGAGCTATCCATACAAATAGAATTCTTAAAATTAAACTAAATTATGAGTAGGTGCAATAGGCCTGTATATCCTGACAGATAGTACATTTGTCTATTTTATATTAATGCACCCGAAAAAGAATACACATGAAACTGAAGACCCACATTACTACCAGCTCTCCCTTCTTTTTTTTTTTTGGTACTGGGAATCGAACTTGGGACCTTGCGCCTACAAAGCAGGCGGCAGAACCACTGAGCTAAATCCCAGGCCCCTTCCCTTCTTCTTTCATATATTTTAGTACTGCATTTTGTTCAACAAGCATGTCCTACTTTTGTAGTTCCTTAAGAAGAAAAACAAAGGCCCATAAAGAATTGTAAACCAAGGATGAAGCAGCCTCACCTGGCTCGGCCTCGGTGCCCTGCATACCAGGCAGTAATTCTTTCCTCCCACATTTCCGGAGTCATCTGATACAGATTTATTACCTACCCAAAAAGAGAACAAAATAAAAAACCCACACACAACGTAAGTTTGGGTATTGTCTGCCATTTTTATGATTACGCATCATTTTTACAAAACAATCTAAGCTATTTTTAAAAAGCCTCACATAGGGAGAGTCACACGCAGAGGTGGGTATGTAAACAAGCACCATTCAATTGAAGGAGCAACCTGGAAGCTGCAGGAGTCCTCAGGCCTGGGTGCACCCCTGGGCTGGCAGCAACCCCCCTTTCTTGACTTAATTGTACATCCCAGAGACCACTGATGGCAATGGAGCAGTGCTTTCTACCCCCTGGCCTTCCCCTTCAAAGAAGCCATCAAAGGACAGGTAAAGGGAGAGGTGAGGAACAGGTCTTTATTACCCAGTGACAGATGCCTGGAGCCATAATATCAGAAGCAGCAAAAGGGAGGGAGGGCCTGCTACTGTAGCTAATGAACAAGAAGAACAACGCTGAGGATTAAGAACCACAAGGCCCACACCTGCCTCATCTCCTCTATCCACCTCTTGCTGCTATAAACAGCTCAATTCTCTGGGCTGAACACACACCACTCCACACGCCTCCCTGGGAATCAATGCTACTCAATCACCTTTAAAGAACTCACCTCACTAGAGAAATACTGTCAGGCCATGCTCATCCTGTCAACTCTTTGTTAACCCCGTGAACCTTTGCTTTTCAATATGCTTAACAGAGATCTCATATCCTTTACTCAAGATTTATTACAAAATATTTGTGAAAATATGCTTGCAAACGTACTTCCTAAATGTCTTGAAGTCCTTCAGTTAGTTTCTCTAGAATCACATCTCTGCTATGTTTTCCCTCAAAATTTAATTTCTTACCCTTTTTGGAAGCAATTCCTCTTGGGCCAAAAATCCCAGCTTGTGCAGAGAGGGGTCATAGTCACCATACTGGAAGGAAAAGAAAGGAGAGCAGGCAATTGAGATTCAAGACTACTGCCACTTCTGAATGAGGCTCAACTCAAGTCTCCTTCCCGCCTCCCTGCTCTGGGGAGCAATTCAATTCTGATGACAAGTCAAGATTTCAACCTTGCTAGTTTGTTATCCTTGAATGAAAATACAAAGCTGATTATATCTGTGAATGAAGTTGCAAAATCCCTAAAGCATGGATAGGTGATGTGGTAATAAGAATATGATATCTGAATGGAAATGCAGTCGTGTTTTCTAACCCTCAAAGAAAGCAGTCACTTCCAAAACATTAGCTTTTGAATGGAAACAACAAAGTTGAATGGAAACAACTTTCTGACTGGGAGAAAGTTGTGATTAACAAAGTGTGACAAGAATCTTACCTACAAATGCTTCTGAAAAGTGGCTGGAAATTGGAACTGGATTGAAAGGTGGGAACGAGGAATAATGCAGGCAATATTTTTTTTTGGTACTAAGGATTGAACTCAGGTCCTTGTGCTTGTGCTGCAGGCAATATTTTTAATACCTTTCACTTATAGCTTTTGAAAAATTCTTTAGAAAAATATGATGTCAACACTATCACTTGTACTGTATAGATCAAGAAAGGTTAACTGAGGGTCGGCAATTTAGCTCAGTGGTTTCGCCGCCTGCTGTGCAAGCACAAGGACCTGAGTTCAATCCCCGGTACCTAAAAAAAAAAAAAAAGAAAGGTTAACTGGTTTTGCAAAAGCTGCAGAGCGAAGTTACTAGTAGGGCTGGAAATCATCCCTGCATTTTAATTTATCGTTCCCGGGACAATGACTTAGAAATCTATTTCTTTAATTTTAAAAATCACTCCTTTTTTTTCATTTTTAAGGAAATCATCAAAAATGAAAGAATGGGGCTGGGGGTGTGGCTCAGTGTAGAGCATTGGCCTATCATGTGTCAAGTCCTGGGTTTGATGGGGAGAGAAAAGGAGGGAGGAAGGGGGGAGGGGAGGGAGGAAGGAGGAGAGAGAAGAGAAAAGGGAGGGGGAGAGGGAAGGACGGAGAGGGGGGGAGGGAGGGAGAGAGATGGGGGGGGATATTTGAAAACAGACTGTGAAACACACAGAATATAAAAATCAAAGCCTGTGATTATATCGATCAGCAATGATTCAATGGCTTTTCTTTTTACCAAAAACAAGAAGGGTTGGTATTTTAGTATAATCTTCTGTAAACATTTATCCTTTTAGCCACCAACATTGGAAAAACAAAAGATAGGAAAACTCAGGTTAGGCACAAGGCTATTGGTTCTATTCCTACCAAACTGGGTTATCCTCTTATTGCTAGAAGCTGTAGGCTTCTGGTGTGTTCGCCAAATGAACTTGTCCACCACCATGCCATAGACACAGGATTGAAAGGAGAGATTCACCATCAACTAAATTGTGCCTCATTGGGCTGGGGATTTAGCTCAATGGTTTCTGCGCCTGCCTTACAAGTGCAAGGTCCTGAGTTCGATCTCCGGTACCAAAAAAAAAAAAAGCTCTGTGAATTAATATCTCTTATGAATGTTATAATTATTTTTAAAATAGCAAAACTGTATTATTTTTGGGGTGGTAAAGGAATTTGTCAAGTTTAATATTTTATATATGCCACAAGTTTTTGTAACCCTGTCTAGGCATTTCTTTATTTGAAAATCTACAGGAGGTTAGGGTGTGGCCCAGTGGCAGAGCACTTGCCTAGCATGACAAAGGTTCTGAGTTTGATTCCCATCAACCATGTACTGCAGCAGCTGCAGAGCTCAGGAAGGAGGCTCTGGGGGCAGGCTGCTCAAGGTTTCACTCCAGCTCTTTTTACTCAATAGCTATGTGACCCTGAAAAGTTTTGGGTCTCAGTTTTCTCTTCTGTAAAATGGGGATAACAGTAATTAACTTACAGGATTCTTCTAGGGATTAAATGAAAGAACACATGCAAAGTTTTAAAAATGATCTTTGACATATACAACCAGATATCAAAAGATCTCTGTTATGGTTTGTGTCTAAATATCCCCCCAAAGCCTCATGTGGTCATAGGCTATTTTGGAGGTGGCTGAATTTAGAATGTGATTGATTCAAGGTGGGGTTAGGCCCAAGGGCACTAGGATTACGGGTGAGAGTGCTATCCACCCTAAGTAGTCTGGACAAGATAAAAGGCGCAGAAAGACATTGTTTAGTTTCCTTGTTGTTTTTGCTACCATGTGGGCACCATGAACTGTTTCTCCTCTCTGATAACCCTCTGCCATGTCCCACCCTGCCTTGGAGCCAACTGATTATGGACTGAAACCTCTATAAACTGTGAGCTAAATAAACCCTTTCCCCTTTAAGTTTGGGTATTGGATATTTTGTCTCAGCAATGAGAGAAAAATAACTAACACAATCTCTAAGTCTGTTCTCTTATTTGTCAAATGAGAGCACTAGACATGGAAGATATTGAAGGGGGAACTCAGGAGTAGTGTGTCTCCTGGTGAAAGTCAGCTATAATTTTTTTTCCAGTACCAGGGATTGAAACCAGGACCTTGCGCTTGCAAGGCAGGCATGGCACCACTGAGCTAATCCCGGGCAGATGAAGTTACTGGCCCCAGTCAGCTATAATTATTATATTGGTATACTCTGCATTATTTGGGATTACCCTAGTCACTGTCTGACTCCCTAGTTTTTAGAGGGGTATAATGTAAAAGAAAACCCCTAGTTGCATTTGCAAACCTTTTAACAATGCCAACCAAACTTTAATGCAAAAGTAAGCACATATTCAAAGTTAAAGCTGTAATTCAGGTTCCCAAGGTTTGCAAGATTAACGATCCCCATTATTAAATTATACCAAGCACCTAGCTACTCCATTGATCAAATGTATTACATCTGAGCAATGCAGAGGGTAGTGAAGTCTCTGCCGAAAGAACTTCTCCACTGGACTAACTCCACTCATAACATTAAAGCCACCTTGATGTATGTGTCTGCTCTTAAATGTCTCTTTAAAAAACAAAGGAAGAAAAACAGATCTTAAAGTCGTGGCAGTGGTAAATATAAAGAAAGCTAGACCACTCCACAGATGGAGATAGCTATTCCTCATCCTTTTATGTAACAGATGCATTCTGATAATATATCCAGGGCATCTTTGCTGTGAGAAAGCTTGGATTTCATGTCTCTGCACCTGCATGGGCCTGTGCCTAATTTTATGTTCATAATTTGGTATTCCTGCATTATAGAGAAGCTCCTAAATTAATAAACCCCAGGCCTCACAAAACCTGGATCTAGCCCTGATATGAACAAATTAAATTTCAATTCGAGAAGGGAGCTCACCATTTAAAAGACTTTTGGAGCCAATTCTTTTTCTTTTCCTTTTCCTTCTCTTTCTTTGCTCCTGGGGATCGAACTCAGAGCCTCAAACATGCTAGGCAAGCACTCTGCCATTGAGCCACATCCAGCCCTTGGAGTCAATTCACAAATTAAACAGAGACTCCTTCTAGATATTAAGCAATTTCCTCTGTTTATATGTATGGAAAATTAGATCAAATGCTTTGAATAGGATTTGCTTAGTATGTATATAGGATATAGATCTCTACCACCTGCAGTCCCTAAATCCCAGATGGATTAAAAGCTTAAACCTACAAATAAAAAAACCATAAAAATACCAGAATAGAGAGGATCTGTATAATAATGGTTGGCAAAGTCACAACAAACAGAAAGGAAAAGACTAACAAGCCTGATATGTAAAAGTAGACAAAAGGTTGATACCCATAATAAATGGAAATCCTATAAGTTAGTCAGAAAATATAAACAATACAGTAGAAAAAGGAGAAAGCCACAAAAAGTTGATTCACAGAGAAAAGAAATACAAATGGCCAGTAAATCTATGAAATTATGCCTAGCTCTGATGGCAATCAAGCAAATGCTAATTTTTCTAAAATCTATTTTTCTATTAGATTAGCAAAAATTTTAAAGACTGATAGTATCCACTGTTGGAGAAGATGTGCAAAAATAGGTATCATACACTGCTGTTGGAAGTTAAATTAGGACAATACTTAGGGAGGCCATTTTGACCATATCTATTTGAATGTTTTTGAAATAAAATTTACATCCATAAAATTTGCCATCTTAACTGTATAATTCAATGGTTTTTAGTACACTCAGCATGTTACACAAACATCACCACTACCTAAATCAGAACATTTCCATCACTCTCAAAAGAAATCCTGTATTCTTAATTTCTTTCTCTTCTTGTCCCCTGGAAACCACTAATCTGCCTTCTGTCTCTGTGGATTTGCCTAATATGTACATTTCATATAAATAAAATCATACGTTACATGATTTTACTTAATATTAGCTAGATTTTAAACACTCTTATTCTTCAACTCAGTTATGTCATTTCTTGGTATCTATCATTAATATATGATATATATATGAAAATTATATATAGTTATATATAATATATTATATATGAAATATTAATATATGCTCAAAGAGGCATATAATGTGCAGAGATGTTAAGTGCATCTTTTTAAACAATAGAAAAACAACAGAAAGAAAAAACCCCTAAATATGCACTAATAAAGATATATTTAAATAATCCATGATCTTAAAAGACTAAGGTGGCGGAGGTGGGGATGCTGTGTTTTCTGACAGTCTTAAGTGAAAAGCATGTGATGTGCGGGAGCTATATATGATATGATTCCATTTATATGACATGTCCACAACAGGCAAGTCCTTAGAGACAGAAAGCAGGTTAGTGGTTACCAGAGGATAGGAAGAAAATAAGAGTGAATGCTAGTGGGTATGGGATTTCTTTTGGGGATGATGGAAATGTTCTGGAATTACATAGTGCTGAAGGCTGTACAACATTCTGAATACACTAAAAGCCCAGAGCAGCCACCCAGAAGGAATGTTAGGGAGTCCTTGGATACTTTTTTTCACCTTTACTGGCCCCTCCACACTGGATCAATTTACTGTGCTTCTAACAAGCAAATGAGCTCTAATAATGTGGTCATCCAATTTCTTAATCCTTGTCAATTTTCTATATTTAAAATATGACCTTATCTGGGTATGGTGGCACATACCTATAATCCCAGCACTCGGGAGGCTGAGGCAGGAGGATCACTGCAAGTTCCAGGCCAGCCTGGGCTACATAGTGAGTTCAAGGACAGCCTGAACTTCATAGTGAGACTCTGTCTCAAAACACTAAGCAATCTGCTGGGGATTTAGCTCAGTGGCACTGTGCGTGCCTTGAAAGCGCAAGGCCCTGAGTTCAATCCCTGGCACCAAAAAACAAACAAACGAAAATCAATCAATATGAAATGTGACTCTATTGCTTTAATTTTTCTTTTTTCCTGATTACTAGTGAGTTTGAACATCTTTTTATATTTACAGGACATCCTCATTTTCTATAAAATGCCTGTTCATATGCTTTGTGTCCACTTTTCTTTGTATTTTTCCTATAAACTTAAAGAGTCTTTTGTATTTAGGTATATATCTTTTGTCAATACTTCAAACACAAGTCAACTTCTAGAAATCTACCTTATGGGGAAAAAAATCTTTGCACATTCAGGAAAACACTGATTATAAAAGGGAAAAAGTAGAAACAATCTACCTCTCCCTCAGGACACTGGGTAAACTAGGTTTATTTATGAGTGGCTACCATATACCAGTTAAAAATCAATGAGCTACATCTATACATACAACATGGATACATCTCAAAATTGATGCTAATGCAGAAAAAAATTGTAAAAAGACATACAAAGAAAAAAAGGATATGTACAGTACAGCACCATTTAAACAATTTTTACCTCCTGAACATTTTTAAGTCAATCGCTTCCCGTCCAACCAGCCACTCTCAGAGGTGTGACTCTCAATCTCTCATTTGGACAGCTACCTCAGCCTTCTAATGAGGCTCCCTATTTCCAAACTTGTCTCATTCCAATCTGTCCTTCACACAGCCACCAAAGGCTCAGTCTAAAATATAAACCCTTTACCAGTGTGGCATCACCCACTCATAGGATAAAGACCTTTTATGACCTGCTCCATGCAGATCCCTCCAGTCTCAACTCTTGCCACTCTCCCTATACTTGTATTCGATTTCTTTTCTTTTTTTTTTTCTTTTTGAACTCGATTTCTTAACAGAATTACATTTGGCCATTCAGTCCCTGCTCGCATGAAAGAGTGTATGAAATACTAAGCCTCTTCTCCCACCATTCTTTTCTTTCTTCTGAAGGGTTGGAGTCTGGAGGCAGCACTAAAAGATTCATAAATCACACACCACTCTCTCTCAAAGTCATTTTTAAGAAGCACATATTTCATACACCAAATTGTCAATACAAAATCCAACAGGTGGCTTAAACATTGCAAGGTGGTTTTGTGTATCATGGGTCTTGACAAAAAACCCTACCCATACGTTCGATTCCAGTATAACTCAAACTGCAACCAAGAAATATGGTTCTTGTTAACTGAACCATGTGATTAATATTTGTATTTATACTTTGAGGGTAATTGTTTCTTTATGCTTTGGAATTAGCTGCGTCTATATCATTTGAACAGCAGAAATACTGTAATGACTACATTTGCACATAATTACATTCCATGTGTTAATGAGCTCAATTCACTTTCTCCTCCATATTTCTAAAGTTCCTTTCTGTTCAAAAAGGTTGTGAAAGAAAACAAGCTGCATAGAATGAAGGAACCAGCAGGACTTACTGAAAAGCTTGGCCTACTGTGATTATAAAAATGAAACTAGAACTCAATGAAAGGTACTGCTTGATCTCCACAGACCTTCCTCTCACTAGACGGTGACAGTAAGATCAAAGTGCTGATTCAGAAGAGCTGGACACCAAGGTCCCCAACCTGGTTCCACCCTCCCATTCCACTCAAGTTCTATCCATCAAGTAGTGTGTAGATGAGTGTTACCATTATGTATGTCTAAAATATATCAATAAATGTTTTATTATAAAAAAATTCCTAAGAGAAAAAAAAAAGTGTGCTACAGGGCTAGGGATATAAATTAGAACACTTGCCTAGCATGTGTGAGGCCCTGGGTTCAATCCCCAACACCACCACCGAAGGAAAAAAAAAAAAAAAGTGGGTTATACATTCCATAACAGTAGAATTAACATCAAAGTATTGTGACTTTGAACAAATCATTGATCCTCTCTGAGCCTTAAATTCCTCATCTGCAAAACAGGTATAAACTCTTTAACCTTGGTTTCCAGAAAAGACTACACCAAGAATTGCATGAAATATTCTTCTTGTAACACTATTAAATACCATGGACATATAACATTTTATTAATATTATAATCAGAAATATTCTTTTACTACTATCCAGCAGTCCTAGAAATTGAAACATGTTATAGTAAGCCTTAGTTTCCCAAATGTAGACTTTTAAAGCAAGAGATTACCTTTATTTGTAAGATCCTTAACATTTATACTGGAAAAAATAGTTAGAACATCCTCCTCCATATGAACTACATATGCTATCTGTGAATCACTTTCATCTCCAAATTAGTAGGATCCAAATTAGTAGGGCTTTCCTACAGTGAAATCTGTTTAAGCAAACATCTGCTGGTTCCCTGAAAAGTGATGGTTTTTTTTCCACAGGTGGCCTTTGAATTTGTGGCCCAAAATCCATACAAAGAAAATGTAGCCTTTGAAATTAAGATACCTAGTGTCCTTGAGAGCTTGGGTCTCCTCTCAGCTGGGAGAAAGCATGTGAAAAGGAACTCCACTTAGAGCCAGAAAGTACCTGGACTTAATGAAAATGACAATGACTGCTTCATCACTGTCAGGGAGATACTGATTGAGAGGACACATTTTTCCTGTTAGTAATATTCTTGATCAAAACTTAAAATGAAGCATATGTCTTAGTTGAATCAAGTCCCATTTTCTATTTTCTCAATTAGTCATTTTTCAGGGAATAGAATAGGAAAGGCACAAAGTATAATCACAAAGCCATAAATTCTGTCCCAATAGCTTTATCCAAGATTGCTTAAATGACCATGGGGGAAGTACTGAGGGTAGATACTTGCTTTAGTTCCTGAATCCATGATAGTCAACAAACACCATCCCCCACTGGCCTGGTGAATGCTAAGGAAATATTAGACAACTCATCAAATGATTAAGTTGACACTGGTGTTTCTCTTAGTCTTACTAGTGTGTACAACATATAGTCCTTTCACTGCCACACATAAATGACAGGTCAGTTACTTCCTCGCTTTGATCTGAAATTGTACTAACCTACCTAAGAGTGAGCTAAGAAGAACGTTTTTATTAATTTTTCTTTTTTTTTTTTTTTGGTACCTGGGATCAAACTCGGGATCTTGTGCTTGCGAAGCAGGTGGTGGCATCACTGAGCTAAATCCCTGGCCCGATTAATTTTTCTAACACTTCAAGGATAGCTTTATTGATGCCACTAATGAAAAAGGAAAATAACTGAAATGATTATAATCGTAAGTCATCAGCATGTTTCAATTTTTAGGGATATCTTCTTATACATCAGTGAAGAAGGGAGACCAAGACAAGGAGTTTTGTCATTAGGTGGAAAATCTGAGGGACATAAATCACCCTGGTCTGGCTCCATGCATGGTGGCCAGACCTGTTCAGGAGGCTGATGCAGGAGGATCTTAAGTTTGAGATGAGACTAGACAACTTAATAAGACCCTATCCCCCCAGAAATAAATAAAAAATAAGGACTGGGAATGTAGCTCAGTAGTAGAGTACTTGCCTAGCATACATGAAGTCCTGGGTTTGATCCCCAGTACTGTAAGGGGGGTGGTGGGGCTCAGTGATGTGTCCTTCTCCCACCACCTCTCTAGTCTGCATTTAATTAAAGTGAATGATTTTTCAACTAACCAGATGGGTCAGCCAGGCTCAGTGGCCCCAGCACCAGTAGTAAACACTAGAAGAAGGATCTGGGCAGTAGTTGGGATTGAAGCCAGGGCCTTCACCCTGAGCTACATCTCCAGCCCTTTTTTTATTTTTTATTTTGACACAGAGTCTAAATCCCTAAGTTGTCCAGGCTGGGCTTGATTCTTCTGCCTCAGCCTCCCAAGACCTGGAACTTCTGACCTAAAGGATTATTTTTGGCTATAATTAAAGACCACAAATTTATTTATCCTGGTTAATACAATAAGGTTGGTGTGATGAATGTAATAAATCACATGTATATAAGATTTCATAAAAAATTCATCAATCTGAATGAATTCACTTAGAATGAATTCTAATTCATTAGAATGATACACTTATCATGTGTATATGTACACACACACACACACACACACACACACACAATTATACAAAAGCTGGGACTGTGACAGGAGATTCCCCCCAGTCTTCAAGTACCATCACATCTCAATTTCAGGGACAAGTCTTTCTGAAGTCCAGAAAATCCAAAGAAACAGAAGATAGAAGCCATACTTTGCCACAGTTAATATCCAGAAAGAAGACATTTTTCTTTTTTGCGCCTACCTTGGCCTGGACAGCATAAGAAGCCAGAAGCACTGAAGCCTCAGGAGGGCAGTAGATCTTTTCCTCTAAAATCTGCTTCTTCACCTGAAAGAGGCAATGAGGGAGGCATGAAACTGTGTGCGTGGAAGTAAGCCACGCAGGCTGGTCACAGCAGATGGCTGTAGGGTGTTCTAAATGAGAGCTGCCAAAGCAACCTGTTAATGATTTTCTGACAAAAGGGACAATTTTTTTTTTAAACTGCTGCAGACTGGCAAAGAGTTCAATCACTGATTGAAAAAAAAATCCCCTCATTTGGGGTTGGGGGTGTTGCTCAGTGGTATAGCACGTGCCTGGCATATAAGAAACCCTGTACTATATTTAAAAAAAAGAACTCCTCATCTCTTCCCTTCACGATCAAGGCTAAGGAGTAAACACGATCTTCATGATAACAACAGAGACTGACATCTGGGCTGTGACAGAGTTGTGAACTTGAGAAGTGTCACGACTGCTCGGTCATGAGTGCCCTCACAGCACCGGAGGAAATGGAGTCTACTTTGAAATCTATACACAAGACAAAAGCCACCAAGGGCACTGAGTTATGACTGCAGAAAAAAGCCATCACTTTCAATGTGCTGCTCTAAGGGAAAAAGGAAGCAATAAAATTTGATTGATTCAACTTTTAAGCACACGTGAGGTCCAGGAAATATAATTCCTAAGCCATAATGTTGAATTAACATATCTCATTGCACTTAATTTCTAAGAATGGTGCAGCATGTGATCCTCCAGACAGAGAGGCAAGAGAGCCGCATGAAGTGGGGGCACACTGAAATAAACACAACAGAAAAGCCAACTCTCTTCACAGATGTCAACAGTCACCAGATTCACAAAAGTAGTAAATTTTGCCTTGTTCAGCCGCAAAAACACTCTAACATTTCAGTGTGAAGGAGAATCAAGCCAGAGTCACATGAGGGATAGGCACTGCTTCCAAGTGCTTAGAGGAAAGCCGTTTCTATAACGCTAAGACATTCTGGGGCCCACGAGATCTTTATGTGGCTTTGTTCACACACACAAACTCTTCCTAGGTTTTAAAGCTGGTTTCACATTCTTACAGAGAAAATGACACCTGAGATGTTTTGAAGCTGTGCAACTTTCAATCCCCTGGCTTCTTTTCAAAGGAGCAAAAAAGAAGCCATACTATAGAAAAATTCAAAGGGCTACCCCTTGACCTGAAAATTTTGGAAAGAAATTTACTATATGGCGCATATATATAGCCATTATGTTTATATAAATGTGTTAGGTCTATTTTGTAAAAAGAAATTATTTAGGGGATCATTTCATTTCACTTAATGTTTACTGAACAAGATAATCACCATGTACTAAACTAAGATTGAAGTGGATTAAAGATCTAAATATTAAAACAGAAACACTAAACTTGGTAGAAGATAGGTTAGGTAGAACTCTCGAAGACATTGGCATAGGAAAAGACTTTATGAACAAAATCTCAGGGCCGGGGATTTAGCTCAGTGGTTCCGCTGCCTGCCTCACAAGTGCAAGGTCTTGAGTTCGATCCCTGGTACCAAAAATAAATAAATAAATAAACAGACAGACAGACAAACAAAATCTCAGTAGCACGGTAACTAGCACAAAGAATCAACAACTGGGATCTCATTAAAAAGCTTCAGGCCCAGGGATTTAGCTCAGTGGTTCCGCCGCCTGCCTCGCAAGTGGAAGGACCTGAGTTCGATCCCTGGTACCAAAAAAAAAATAAAAAGCTTCTGCACTGTAAGAGAAACCACCAACAGAGCTAAGAGACAACCTACAATGTGGGAAAAAAATTTTAACAGCTGTACCTCAGACAAAGGACTACTATCTAGAATATATAAAGAATTGAAAAAAATCAGACCCCCCCAAATTTAAAGAATCAATTCAAAAATGGGCATCTGAAATGAACAGACATTTCTCAGAAAGGAAGTAAAAGCAGCAAATAAACATATGAAAAAATGTTCAACATCATTGGTTATTTGAGAGATGCAGATGAAAACAACACTGAGATTCCATCTCAGCCCAGAAAGAATGGCTGCCATCCAGAAATCAACCAATAACAAATGCTGGCGGGGTTGTGGAGAGAAAGGAACCCTTCTCCATTGTTGGTAGGAGTGTACACTGGTGCAACCACTGTGGAAATCAGTATGGAGATACCTCAAAGAACTAGGACTAGAGGTCCCATTTGACCCAGCTATTCCCCTGCTGGGTATCTTCCCAAAAGAATTAAAAGAATCATACCACAGCGATATATGTGCACCCATATTTATAGCGGCACAGTTTGTAATAGCTAAAGCTTGGAAACAGCCCAAGTGCCCATAAGCTGGAAACTGGATAAAGAAGATGTGGTTTTTTTAATAAAATGGAGTACTGCTCAGCCATAAAGAATGAGAAACTAGAGACATTTATAGCTAAATGGATGCATATTCTTAAGTGAAATAAAAAGGACACACATGTGTAAATATCAAATAGTTTCTCTGGTGTGAGAAACTGAAAGAGTAAATAAGGATTAAAATGATTAAAATGAATAATTGATAATTTGAAATAGGAAGACAAGGTACAAAGGGTAGGGGAAAGTGGGATGGGAAGGGGAAAGGAAAGAAGGGAAAGGAAAAATTATAAGAAAAGGAAAAAATGGAAACCAAGTCTTTGTAAATAGGGAAGGGAGCACAGGGAGTGGGGAAAAAATAAGAACCAAAATACCTCATGTACAGGTACAAGCACCCAATGATAAATGTAAATGTATCGTATACCTAAAATGTACCAATAAAAGAATTTAAGCAAAAAAAAAAAAAAGATATACTGAGGTTTAAATTAATTATGAAGCCTCTGTTGACAGACTACATACCTACTTCTGGGAAATCATGAAATTAATGACCCTACTGCAGTCTTTCACATCACTGACAGTGGTGTACCTTTGGGCACACAAGGAGCCCCAGTGCCAATCACCACCACAACTAGGCATGAAATTGGAGAGATGCTCTGACCAAGCAGTAAGTAAAAAGGCAAAACTGACAAAGTTTCCATTCTCCTCTGTTTTCCTAGATCAGTGATGGCAAACCTTTTAGAGACCGAGTGCCAACCTGCAACCCAAAACCCACTTATTTATTGCAAAGTGCCAACACTGAAATTAAACCTGAATACTGAGGTTTAGTTTAGAAAAAAACAACTCCACCTTAACATCTTTTGTCTTAAAAGAAAAACGCACAATAATACACATGCCATAGGTTCACCACCATTGTCCTAGACGGTCAATCTATAATTATGGAGCTCCTAATTTCTTCAATTTGTCAAGCAATTACTTTGGAACGTCTACCACATTCAATGAGCCTTACCATCATGGAGCTTATACTCCAGTGAGGAAACAGGAGAAAGAAGACAATTGTAGACCAAAAGTAATATGAAGCTGGACATTTGAAGTACCAGAGGCATAGGGCAAATAAGCATCACTGGCAAGCCAAGCGTAGTGGTACATCCCTGTAATCCCAGGATGAGGCAGGAAGATTGCATGAAGAACAGTCTGGGCAACTTAGTGAGATTCTGTCTCAAATAAAACGGGCTGGGTATATAGCTCAGTGGTAAAGTACTTGCCTAGCAAGCTCAAAGCCCTGGGTCCAATTCCCAGTAGAAGGGGTGGAGGGTGGGAATGCCACTCATATTTTTTTTTTGGTACCAGGAACCAAACTCAGGACCTTTTGGTTTCAAGGCAGGCACGGTGCCACTGAGCTAAATCCCCGGCTGCCACTCATATTTTGAAGTCCTGTCTTAATGACAGAAGATTTTTAACTTTGGAAATACTGCTTTATAAGATTCTGTTTAGATTCCCTTTGCAACTACAGAGTACTTTCAAGTTAACTAGAAGCAAACAGAATTCATCTTCAAGGAGGTTTAAGGTTAGGTTGCTGCTTCTATCCATGCTTCGTCATCACACCTTTGCAATTTCATCTGACACCAATTCTTTCTGTTGTTGCTGTTACTAGGTTTTTGGTGGGGTTTTTTTGGTGTTTTTTTTTTTTTGGCACCAGGGATCCAACTCATGACCTTGTCCTTGCCAGGCAGGCGTGGTACCACTGAGCTAAATCCCTGGCCCTTGCTGTTTTGTTTTTCGAGACAGGGTCTTGCTCTGTAGTTCAGGCTGGCCTTGAACCCACCATGTAGTCCAGTCTGGCCTTGAACTCTCGGCAGTCTTCCTGCCCCAGTCTCCTTAGTGCTAGGACTACAGGCATGAGCTACCACACCCAGTATGAGACACCAATTCTCATAGCTCAGGTTCAGTTCTATTCTAAAGATTTTTTTTTTCCATTACAGAATCAAAGGACAGACTACCTAGAGGCAGAACATTTCTGCAATGTGGAAGTATTTGCAGTCAACACCGACGAGTTCACCCAGGCTAACTCTGCCACTATGCCTCTGTGGGTTCCCTCAGAATTTGGGGGCGGGTAGCATGGGATATTGTACCTGCAAGAAGAATAAATGTTGTGTGCTCTCCTGAACCAGCTCCTCCTCGGCATTCTCAGGATAAAATTTGGCCAGGAAATGAAAGGTAACCGGTTCTTCCTTTGAGACGTCATGGTCCAGCACCTGCCGAATTGTACAGCAAAATATACACACACTAGATTGGCCCTTCTTCCTCGTGTGGTACCAGAAAAAAAACCTTTCACAGGGAAGGTATAAATTTTTTCTTCATTACATTTCTCACATTTCCCAAAGGCTGTGATTCTACAGTTGGAAGCATTCACGGAGCCATCCATAATAAGAGGTAATATCCACTTGGTGCAAGGCTTCTCAACCAAATCAATCAATATCCCCAAAGGGTTAAGCAGAGCTAAGATGAAGGCACAGATGTTCTCAAGGTCACAATAATAGTTAAAAACCAGAAATGTATAACTCAAAGGTCTTGGGAATTATCTTTTATGGAAGATTGAGGGGCTTTTAACATTTTTTTCTAAAGTAGTAGAATCTTTCTTTATTCTTCATTCTTTTTTTAAAAATTCTTTTATTGGTACATTTTAAGTATACAATACGTTTACACTTATCATTGGGTGCTTGTACCTGTACATGATATATCTTGGTTCTCATTTTTTCCCCCATTACCTGTGCGCCCTTCACCCCCTCCACCCTTCCCTATTTACATAGATTTCGTTTCCATTTTTTTTCTTTTCTCATAATTTTTCCTTTCCCTTCTTTCCTTTCCCCTTCCCCTCCCATATTCTTCATTCTTGCTGTCCACCTCTAATGTGTAGGTCCAATTAGAATACAGCTCAGGGGCCAGGGATTTAGCTCAGAGGTACCATGCTTGACTCACAAGAGCAAGGTCCTGAGTTCGATGCCTGGTACCGAGGAAAAAAAGAATAGAACTCAGAGATGAATGAGATTTTTGTGACATTGTTTAGATTTTAAGTGAGCAACAGAAGTGAACCGTGTCCAATGGGCAACCTTTATTTCTAGGACCCTCCAGCAATGGCCCACAAAATGTCTGCAGTGCAGTCAGTAAACCACTGCCTTTAATCTTTTAACAATTTCATCCACCCCCTGAAAAGCTTGAACCATCTGCTCTCCAGAGTGAATTTCATTTCAGGACATAAACATGCCATGTGACAGGCTACAGAGCTCCATTAACATGTGTCATAATTTATTTCCTTTGAGCAGCAGGTTCTGTGGCTCCTGATGCCCCCAATCTAATATCCATTTGGCCAACACTCAGGTATGATTTAAAATTCACTTTGCTGAGAATCATAAGAAGATAACAAAGTTTTGCTGTCTTTGATACATAACTTTCTATGCTCCTGTCCATTTCTTGGGGTTGGACAGTGCCCAGGAGATTGAAAATACACCCAATGTAGGTCATTTCTGCCACTGGTACTCTGTAGCCCTGAGAGGTTCATGATCACTGGGAAATACCATTTGAAATTACAACCAGTAAAGATTCCAACATGAAGGCTGAGATTATCATGCATATATGTGAATACAATTTGAACACTTCAGCTCAGAGTCACATTCATAAGAGATAGGAGGCTTTCACTATTTGTCATGCCATCCAGCAGATAACACTATGGTATTAGGTGGGCAATTGCAGGGGGTATCATTTTGGAAGAATTAGACATTAATTTACTTTGCAATTCAGGTGTTTTTCAGAGTGACTAATAAAAGTTCACAGTCCTGCTCCCCAAATGTCTGCATGGTTAGGTAGGTGGGCAGGTAAATAGGTAAGAATGTCTCTGTGAACACAGAAGCCCACACGGAGGGTGGCTCCTCTAGACAATACCCATTTCCAAGGCACATTAAAATTGTCAGGAACCCAGACTTCATGGGCCTCTGAAACCCCAGAGAATCCTGAGGACCAAATGGGTATTGTTCCCGCACCATAGGCACACACACACACTGTTTATTCCTTAGATCACATTAATGATCAATTCAGGTTGGGCTATGGTGTTCTCAAAGAGACTTTAAAAATTCCCTAAAGAACATAAGCCCCAACACCATCTTTCAAAGATATAAATTGTTTTCAAAAATTAAGAAGATAATAGTCATTTTTATCCATAAAGTCTGACTAGTGGTTCAGAAGCAAAATGGGCAAAGAAGCCAGGGTTGGCATGGGTTTAACACCGGTGAGCTGTGCTTGCCTAGAAGAACCTGTGAGGAGTAGAAAAATCTCCAGCACCTCCAGGACCTGCTTTCTGCATGATTTAACAGAGGAACATGCCACTTTCTCTACCATGTCACTGTGACACCCTGAGATGAGCAAATAAGCTAGGTGTGTGCTTGAGAGGAAGAAGAGAATGGAAAGCACACGCCTGCCCCACTGGTTTCATGACGCTCCAGGCCAACCTTCTTATCCATCTTGAGCCAGGCCACGGTGTCCTTGATTGTGTACTGCAGTCCAAAGAACCAGGTTTCTCGCAGCCCCAGAGTCCGACACACCAAATCAAACAGGTCCTTCCCTTTCCACTTCATCTGCAATGTAACAACCAACAAGGAAGGATGTTATGGGCAAAAAAACCATAATCTGCTCACCTACAAAACTGTTCTCCTCATACTAAGATGGCTGATGAGCACTAAATTCCTAAATAATTTTAAAGCTTCCCACACAAAACCATGAGTGGGAAAATACCAATTAGAGCTTAATGGCTTAATCACTGCAGAGCATACACAATACCTCCCTTGGACAGTTCCTCACAGATCTTAATATCCCCAAAGCTGCTAATTTAGGAAACCTGGTAAATAAGCATCCTCATTTGGGAGACTGAAGCCTCTTGAGTTAACCCAGGGAGATGACCAGCTTCAGAGGCACAAATTCCTTTGAGATTTTGTTGATTTTTTAAAAACCATGACTCTGTCCTTTGATAAAAAGCTAGTGTTTTGTGGTTTTCTTTCTTTTTTTTAACTTAAAGACTGGTTTTAGTAGGTTTTTTTATAATATAGGGGAAGAAATTGTAACCTAAGTCATAAATCAAGAAAAAAAAGAAAAGAACCACAAGAAACCAGACAATCCAATCAGAGGTGTCTCCTATGACAAAAGCAATTCAACCACAGACACACAGAGCAATTTCAAACTCAGTATCTAAATGCAGGTGATAAACAAACATCAATATACTGTGGTGTATTTATCCTATAGCCTCACTTGCAAAGGACCTGAAGCAATGGCAGCTAAACCATTTTCTCAGCTATTCAATCTTACAGCTCAAAGAGCAAGTTCATCTTATTAGAAGAGGATGCCCCGCAGCTTAGCAAATGTTGCCATCTAGTGGCTTTCCACTTAAATCACTCGGGGTATTCCCATACAACCCCACCTACTGCTTGCCCCCTCCTACTGCTAGCACCAATCACCCTCCAAGTATCAGGTGGACATTAGAATATACACTTGGGTACAGTTCTGATCAATGAGACACATCACAGAAACCAAGGTCACAGCAAGAGTAATCTTGAGATTCAAATGCAAGGTCACCAAACACGGGAAGAAATGAGACCGTAGAAGCCTTCGTCCTGCCCTCGTTAGAAATGTCTATGCAGCCAGTCATGGTAGTACATGCCTTTAATCTCAGCTACTTGGGAGGCTTAGGCAGGAAGATCACAAGTTTGAGGCCAATCTAAGGCAACTTAGCAAGAGCCTGTCTCAAAATAACCACAACAAAAGTTAAAAGGGGGCTGAGGTAAAGGATAAATCTGAGTTATTTGCAGGAAAGTAGAAGCACCTGGAGACCATAATGTTAAGTGAAAGAAATCAGAGACACACGCTTAAGTATCACATAATTTCTCTTATATAAGAAGCCCAAAGTATAAATAATTTTAAAAATAAAGGACAGACAACAGGAAGCAGGGAGATAGATCTTTGGCAAGTGGAAAATGGATCCAGAGATGGAAGGAGAAAGGTAGGGGGAAAAAAGAACGAAGAATTAAGTCCGGGCCAGGGATTTAGCGCAGTGGCACTGGGCCTGCCTCGAAAGTGCAAGGTCCTGAGTTCAATCCCCAGTACA